GATTGTCAAATACGATTTTAGAGGTTATATTTTCTGTCAAATCAATCATAGCCGTAGATGGACAATGGATATAGGGTACAAACACCTACTTCAATTTATAGTGAAACACTTCTAGCAGAACAACTGTTATATGAATGAGAAGAATGCATGTACCAACGTTTTAATATTAGAAAATATACACATATGGATAAACTTATAGCTATAAATCCTTATTGTATGTCAAACTGTACTCCAGTGATAAGTTCAAAACATGAAGTTATTAATATTTAATTGAAGGTAGGTATTCTCAATATACAGGAAGTAATAACATAAATACGTTCAAGTGAAGTATTCCTGAGACAATTTTAAGAAATAAAGTCTATATAAGCTTGTGTCCGGAAATGTTTCATTTCGGAGATACAGGGTGTTGAAACACAGAGAACAAATCATTTTTGATAAACATTTCCTTGTAAAAATGTAGTTTATTTTGACGAGACCTACCAAATACATTTTTCTGTAACGTTCTCAGCAACTTCACTTAGCGCCTTAGAAGCTGTAATCATCGAAGTAACATGGATCGATATACCAAATACATTTTTCTGAAAAGTTCTCAGCAACTTCACTTAGCGCCCTAGGAGCTAAGCATCTAAGTAACATGGATCGATACAGAAAATATCTCCAAAACGATAACATCCAGCGTTCCCTTGATACATAAATAATTATTCACTTTTCACTGTTGAATTTTGAATTTGATCAGCATCAAAAACGCAATTCAATAATATAATTATCACGTTGTAGTTTCCTTGCTTTTCTTAGTTTCCTCTTTCCATGATTATTTTGTTCTGTATTTTGTGTGATGATAATAATGGAATTTTGAAATCGTCTGCTTTGTAAATTGATGGAATAGCAGATTCTCTCAAACAGATTTTGAAATCGTCTGTTCGAAACTGGACCTAAAATATAGTTTCATTCTGTAATCAGATGCTGTTATAAGAAGCTGATTTAAATGAGTACCTCACAAATTTCGCTCGTCTTGAAATTGATTTTCCACCCAGGCCGTTTCATATCTTCCTTCCATAAGCGAATGGTTGATATTTGTTTTGGAAAATTGAATAAATGATATCCATTTTATCAGATTTGGCACAATTTATTACACAGCAAGTGATTTCCATAGCTGCTTTTTTCTCAAAAGTATAATTATTACATTTTATTTCAAATCTGACGTTCATAAAATTTACTGTCAAATTCGAACAATTATTTCGAATAAAAAGCGCGGGACGACTATGGTGCTATTGTCACAATGCAAGGTGTGTAACTTAATGAATCTAAACATTCAAAAACCCTAACAGTTGTCATTTCTGTGTCCGAACTCTTATCAAACTAATACCATCCAGTGACTCTAGTCTGGGGTTAAGTCAATTTTTGCTCCTTTCTTCAAACGTGCTGTGAGAGGTTTCGTGATTTTAGAGAAGTCCGGTATAAATTTGCGGTAGTACCCTAGTAGACCTAAAAAGCTTTTTATTTCTTTCGTGGTCTTAGGCGTTGGGAATTTTTTAATGGCAATTATCTTATCTGGGTTCGGTTTTATTCCCTCAGTGGTGATCACATGACCTAGATAGGCGGTTTCCTTTTTTAAAAATTCAGACTTATCTAATTGAATTTTGAAATTGGTTTCGCGTAGACGATCGAATACTTTTTTCAGATTAACAATGTGCTCTTGAAGAGAGGCTGAATATATTATGATATCGTCAAGATAAACAAGGCAGATTTCATTTTGGAGGCCTCTCAAAATGTTGTCCATCACCCTTTGAAAGGTAGCGGGTGCATTTTTTAGGCCAAACGGCATTCTTAGGTATTCGTAATGTCCATTTTCGACGTTGAATGCCGTTTTCGGGATGTCTTCGGGGTTCATTTCGATTTGGTGAAACCCGCTAGCCAAATCCAAGGTCGAAAAATAATTACACTTGCCAAGTTTATCTAAAACGTCCGTTATATTGGGTATCGGGTACCTATCGTCGATTGTTTTTTCGTTGATCTTTCTATAGTCTACCACGATACGCCACTTCTTTTTGCCGGAAGCGTCGGCTTTTTTCGGAACCACCCAGATAGGGGAAGACCAGGGGGAATTGCTTGGTCTTATTATGTTTTGTTGAAGCATTTTTTGTATCTGTGAATTAACTTCGGTTTTATGCACAAACGGGTACCTATATGATTTAGTATGAACAGGGATTTCATCGGTTGTTTGAATTCTATGTTTTACTTGGTTCGTGAAAGTTAAGTTATTTTCATTCATGTGAAAAATATCTGCGTATTTTCTGCACAATGGAAGAATATGACTTTTTTCTTCTTCGTTCATATGATCTGTTCTGATTAAATTATCTATATCTTGTTTATTGTTGATTTCTGATAATGGTTGAATATTCATGTGATAAAACTCGAAATTATTCTGGACCGGGAAAGTTCTAATTGGATGTAAAATCGTGAAATTTGTGTCATTATTAGAGTTATTATGTATTTCTACGAGAGCCCAACCTTCTCTTGATATTGACAGGGTTTCTGGTATTATGCAATTTTGAATGGTTTGTTGCGGAATAATAATTTCGCCTGATTGTGTTGTAACAGGAATTCTGATTTTTGTCACTGTGTTTCCACGTAGGAATTTCTCGAAAAATACTGATGGATTTGCATCGAAGTATTTTATCGGAATGCATGCGCGAGGAGTAGAGAGTTTCAAATTAGCAAAGTCTAAATTGGCATTCAATGATTTCATAATGTCGATACCTAACAGACCATCGAATACGTTATGAAATTTGTATGCGTAGAATTTGAGGTGTTTGTTTTCGTTAAATTCTTGGAAAGCTGGTATTGTCGCAGAGATATTATGTTTCGAGGAAGCAAATGAAGTAGATACTATAAACGGGTCATTCACTTTGTGTTGAGAGAAATATTTGTTGACAATCATAGGATCCAGAAATGATTTCGTGGCTCCTGTATCGATAAGTAATTTCAAAGGTGGGTTTTTTATAGCAATATAGGGTAATTTTCGTTCGTCAAAAGATGTATGGAATTCAATTACGTCTCCGGATCGGGAGAGTTGTCCAGCTGAAAATCCTCGGATTCTTCGAAATAATCGGGATTTTCTGAATAGTCATAGTCATTATCGATTGGAATCTCTATCTGATTTTGTAACTGTTCGTCGGGATAGTCTAACTGTTCAGTATTGTGCAATTGAGCTTGCGGTCTAGTGTTTGTAGTGTACTGTCTAGTGGTGGTACTCATGGGTGTTGGTTTTGGTTGGTTGGAATTTTGGGAGTTTGGGTTTGGTTTCCAAACATTTCTTTGGGGTCCAAAGACTTGATGGTTCGTGAAAAATTTCTGGGAATTATTAGGTTGTGGTTGAATATTTACAGGGCCTGTTGGGAAAGATGTTCTTGGTTGATTATGGAATGTTTGTGGATTAAAATTAGGGTTTTGAGGTCTTTGTTGGTAGACATTTTGACTAAAATTTTGGTTGAAATTTGGTCTCTGTCCCTGATATTGATTTGGTTGGGTAAAATATTGATTGGGATAGCCAGGGTTTTGTCTGCCAGGATTTCTTCGGGTTTGGGCTGGATTTGCATTTTGATTTGAGTGTGGGATCGAATTTTGTAGATATCTAATATTATCTTCTTTTCTGATGAAATTTATTGCCTCTAACATTGTTTTCGGTTCTTTGGTACGAACCATTATACCATAAGGATTTTTCAAGCCTGCTAGAAATACTTCGAGACCCTGCTGGTTATACATCTTTTGTTTAAAATTGCGTACATCTTGAACTGTTTCGTGAATCGCTAAATAATTCGAAATTGTGTTTAAAACTTTCCTAACTCTATCATGAAATTGGTACGGGGATTCATTGGCACCTTGTCTCAAGTTATTTAAATCTAAGGACAAACAAGTCTCATTTCTGTGGTCGCTGAAATTCGTGATTAAAACATTTCTGATATCAGGAATAGTTTTTACGCAGCTAATATTAACGACCTCACGAGCCGGTCCTTTCAATTTACTGATAATGGTGCGAAAAATTATCACATTTTGATAGTTAGCTATATTTGCCACATCAAAGAAGTGGGTATAAATACTGTCGATACTTTCGAGAAAAAAATTCAATTCGTTCACGTCTCCGTTGAACTCGGGTATGGTTTCGGCGTGAACCTTTGAAAAATTTGGAATCGACATAATAATTGTTGTAGCACTATTTTCTATGATTGGATTTTCAGTTTCCAAAGTTATATTATTGAGCGTATTCGCAAGTGAACTTATTTCTAACTCTAGGAGATCTTTACTACCACTTGGGAAAGGAGAATCACTAGAGGAGTCTGGCATGAATCAAAAAACGACTTACAGCAAGAGTATCGTCTTCATCGAACTTCTGGGCTGCCAAGTTGTCCTGGTTGCGTCTGCTTCTTTATCCTTGGTATCCTTAGTAACTATATTGTTCTCTGGTATCCACTTTTCGGCGATCGAACGAACGGACACGTAGGAACTTTTTTCGATTGTTACTCAACTATTAGAAAATAGAAAAGGTATCCGCGATGGATTCTTTGTAACAATCCTACCGACTGCGCCACTTTTATAACTCGTCTAGAGTTTGGTTTTTTAAAAAAACATTTATTTTTCGATACAAAGGTAGACACAAGTTGATTTGATGTGAACAGTACAAATATTCAGCCAAGACTGAGCTACGTGAGAAATGAATTATAAAAATGTGAAATAAAAGTTGCTGATTCAATTCCTGGAATCTGCCTCGCCTCTGGTGAGAACGCCTCGAAGTGCTGAGTTGCGGAATCGATGATGTAGCCTATTTCCCATGGGTTCCCTGGGAATATGGAATATAACTAGCGACATCAATTAGAATAAGATGTAACCTTATATTGCGATTTTCAACTGTTTATTGCCTTCAAGTTCGGACAAAACAATGGCGCATCAATGCAAATACCAAATTACTCATAAACATCTCACTATTAATAAATATTCTCCAGTCCAACTCGCCGAGGTAGTGAAATTCGGCGCGGCCAGCCTGGGATCTGACAACCCCGACTCGCAAGTCATGCTGATCAACGCCGTGCGCGACGTTGCCAGCGCTCTCGGCGACCTCATCCACGCCACCAAGGCCGCTAGCGGCAAGCCGATCAACGATCCCGCGATGGGCCATTTGAAGGACAGCGCTAAGGTACGATATCATCGAAGGGTGGTGCTTAGATAGGATAGGTTGTTGTTTTTATTTTTTGCTGTTCACTAATCTCTTATTTTTTTCTAATAAATGTTTGTTTGGAAGTGAGTTTTGTTTAGGGCTAAAGCGCGAAAGGGTGTGGGCAGGATACTTTAATTTTGTACTCATTTGTTCATTCAAGCTGAATATAGTTTTTTTTATTGAAAGAAATATTGGTTGGTAATTTTTTTGGAAACTGTTTCATGTTTGCCTTATGTAATTTATCTGAGAGTGAAGTGTGACATAAGTATTACATATGAATATCAGATTAAGCGATGTAGAGAAGAAAAACACAATGTCTACAAACTGGTTTTCCTACATGGAGTTCGAATTTAAAGTTAAATCTTACTTTCGGTGAGGACTAACCTATTGGTTAGTTATTAGTTAGATGTTTTTCAAGATTTTTGGTATTTTCTCTCCTCTTTTCTATTAAATGATAATGTATTATTTCAATATACGAGTATAGTGTGGACAAATCGAATGATTGCCCCCAAAATTTCTCTGTGTTTAAAAATGTCACTATAAGAGAGCCTAGAAAAAAAATTCTATTGATTCTCAGTGAAAAAACATAGAAGAATTGAAAAATTTCATTCTTGTCAATTTTTTAATGCAGTGACGTTTTTTTGGGTAAGTTATCTGATTTATCCTCAACTCACGTATATTGAAATAACAATTATTATTTCATAAAGACGACGAGAGAAAATTCCAAGAAATCTGGAAGAATGAATGTACCACGTCCTCGATTAACCTACAGATAGGTTGGTTTTTAGTTTAGTTTTTTTACAATACTGATGCTAATTATCTAACATTTAATAGGTATATTATATGCTTCAAACGAGACTGGCGGAAAATAAGATAATTTACGGAATATGGTTCTCAAAGTGTATTTATGGATAACAATGGTTTTAGATAAGTTTCATTCAATACATAACACCCCATCTAATGATGACATATATGATAATATACAGTGGGTCCACAGATTAGCGAAACAACTTGAATAAAAAGGTGAACATTCTCAATTTCAGTTTTCATGTATGACAAAATTTTCAATCAAATTTTCTTTGTTTTTATGTGGCATATACTGTGATTTTTAGCATTTTTTCTGAATAACTTTTCACATAATTGCTATTCGAAGTTCCTTGGAATGAATTTGAAGAGGGAATTGAAAAATCACTTATCCATAGATTTTGAAGGTATGGATGTTGCTTCAAATAAAATTTTTCTCAACTCTTTCTACTGTATGCGACATAAGAGTCTGAAACTTTTTATTTTACCTCCGATTTATTAGAGGAGTGAACCCAAACGAAAGAAAACTGTAGTCGAGATTTTTTAACCTTTTACTAAAGTCGTTTTACCACCAGAGACACATTACAGATTGAAGGAAAAAGTATTATTGTGAAAGTGACAGATCAAATTAACTTTTATTGTTCAATGGTAAGTATTCAGTTGATTCATTCTGGGGTAATATCCGGCTTCAGCTTGGGAGTATTGTTCGGTCGTAATCGGAAATATGTCGCCTATAATAAGTCTGTTGTCAGTTGAAAAATCTCACTACACTAACTCAGATATGCATGCGCGTTATACTAATTGTATTGTTTTCTGGGAAGTGGACTTTAAATAATAATCGATAAATTAATATGGCGTGCATGCTATTATTTGTGAATCTTAACGATATTTCTGAACTGGGGTTTTCAAAACATGTTATGTTGTTTAAAGTCCACCAAAGCTACTTTTAGATGTTTAATAATTTTTGTAGTTGAAGATTTTTCCAGAATTTCTCATTTTTTTGATCTGGAAAAATCTCTATTTTTTCTGGTGGTGATACTTTATTAAGTACATGTTTTGATTGACCCTCAGGTGACGGATTCGGAAACTGATTGGTGGATTTCCGATCAAGAGGAGGAATTGTTGAGGCTTTTGAGTGACAGCAAGGAGAACGTTAATTCCGATTTGCAAACCGATATTGTTCCGTGTTTAGTTACTGCTACATCTTGATCAAACAAGGAACATATCTTTCATATATAATCTCTGTGTGATGCTTCTGACCAACTAGTTAGTGTTCTAAATGATTAATTCTTAGTTTGATTTGATTATTGGAAACCATGTCAATTGTTCTTTGAACTTTTATATTGGCAGTGACTAAGTTTATTTTCCTATTTATTTAATAAAATTCGTGTGCTACCAGGCTGTTTCAATTCGACACAATTTTTCCTTTCTCAGATTCAAACTCGGTATGTATATTGTGGTTGTGTTGCGCATCATGTTACCATCACCGTTGTCCCTCCCTTCTATTCTGAAATAACAATTTTTTCAGGTCATACCCCATTGCTTCGATATAGTGTGTTTGTCTAAAAGCATGTTATGTCTTTTCGAATATCGTGTGCCATTTATGATTCATCGACTTCTTTGCAGGTTATGGTGACGAATGTGACGAGTTTGTTGAAAACCGTGAAGGCAGTGGAAGATGAACATACGCGAGGTACCAGGGCTTTAGAATCTACCATCGAAGCCATTGGACAAGAAATGAGGGTAACTATAAATCTTTCACTGAGTTCAATTTTCATGAATTTATCAACCAGTCCTACAAATTCTATCGATAATTTTTTTTTTCATTAATTTATTTTGCAAATATTAGACATTATCATAAATCTCTGTTCACTGACCCAAACTATGTCTGCTGGTTTACTGAATAATGTCAATCTCATTTGTCCTCATTAAATATTTGTCAATATGGACGATTTCAGGCTGAAGTTTTATCTTCTATTCCCCTATAACCATGATACTAAAAATGGTTTTAGTATAATGCTCTATAACTGTACCTGTCCTCATTAAATATTTGTCAATATGGACGATTTCAGGCTGAAGTTTTATCTTCTATTCCCCTATAACCATGATACTAAAAATGGTTTTAGTATACTGCTCTATAACTGTACCTACCAGAGATAGAGAAGATTATTATCTGACTATTTGTTAGATTTCTCCCACTGGATCACTTTTCTGAGAAACATCGGTTTGTTATCACTTAGATTTTATGTTACTCAGTTGACAAACTACCTATTTGGGTATGATTTATAGAGAGAGTAATCAAACTATTAAGTATTATTACTATTATTATTGTCTTGACATGACAAATATTGTTTCCCACATCAGATCAATTAAAGGCTATAGGAGGATTTATACAGTGTCATTCATAAAGTCGGCATCATATGGGAAAAACTTTTATCAATGACTTATTTTGAAATTCGACTTGGACGTTGAGTTTTGCTTCAAAAAAGATGAAAAATGGCCTACTCAATCGGGGTCACGTGACTTTCGATACGTGTCAAAAGTGACATTTTTTCAAATTAATCGCTGAAAGTAGGCTTATTTGTTCGAATATCGAAAAAGTTTACTTGAAAAAGTTGTTTCTATTTAAATTTTACATATTATGTGACTCGGATTTCATCTTTCTATTACATTTTTTAGATTTCGATATTTTCTGAAAATTTTCGAAATTTCTGTTTATATTAAAAAACTTGTAAATTCGATAAACCACTTCATACCAGTAGTTTCATCATGCTACTAACTTTCAATTACTAATTATCACTAATTATCGATAAAAATATGATTTTCTTCAGAAAATGATAATCTTCGCTTCAAAATTCTGTTATGTTTGATGCAAACATAACATAATAATTCTGTTATGTTTGAGTCAAGCATTTAGAAACGAAATTCATTTAATTTTTTTCTTTCAGTACTGAAAAGAACAGTTTAAATGAATTTCGTTTCTAAATGCTTGATGATATTTCAACTTTGCATCAAACATAACAGAATTTGTTAGCGGGTATTATCATTTTCTGAAGAAAATCATATTTCTGTCCATAATCAGTAATAATAAGTAATTGAAAGTAAGTAGCATGAAAAAGCTACTGGTATGAAGTAGTTTCGTGGAATTAACAATTCTTCAAATATTACAGAAATTTCGAAAAATTAAAAAAAAATCAAAATCTAAAAGTTGCAATAAAAAGATCAAATTTGAGAAGAATGTGTAAAATTGGAATAGAAAAAAATTTTTCAAGTAAACTTTTTCGATATTCGAACAAATAAGCCTACTTTCAGCGATTAATTTGAAAAAATGTCACTTTTGACACGTATCGAAAGTCACGTGACCTCGATTGAGTAGGCCATTTTTCATCTTTTTTTGAAGCAAAACTTAACGTTTACCTCGAATTCCAAAATAAGTCATTGATACATTTTTTTCCCATATGATGCCGACTTTATGAATGACACTGTATAGCAATCAATTATTATTTTTCAATATTCCTTCATTTTCACAATGAATAGTACAATTTGATGGACGATTTTGTACAAAATCACTAAATACTGCAACAAAAAAAACTAAAATTTTCATATTGTGTCACCCACCACTCATATACATATAATTGTCTTTTCCGCACTACTGCAGGAAAACGACACTTCCCAAACTAAATTGCGTGCGGGTTTAAGGTGAATAACGCACGCTTGTAGAAAAATGAATTTTTTATCTAATGGTAATATCCCTTCCAGGCTTTGTATTCGAGCGACGGCTGCCGACAAGGCGTGACCCCCGAGGACCTGATCCGCTGCACTAAATCCATAACGAACGCCACTGCTAAATGCGTTTCAGCAGGAATCAGCAACAAGCAGGACGACATCATAGCGGCGGCCAACCTGTCGCGCAAGTCCATCTCGGACATGCTGGCCATATGCAGGTAGGGATTGTTTGTTTGATTGATTGATTTATTGATTGCCCTTTTTACCGCAAGAAACATCGTTGTTGATACAGTTACTAGTCCTATTTACCCTCCAAAGCATTTCATGTAAAATCATTCGGGTAGACCACTGATTTTTTTAAAACGACATTTTCGTCAGCTTTGTACCAAAAAACTTCTAGTAAATATATTTTCGAATTTTTTTATTCAGGACGATAAACAATAAATTGAAATATATAGATAAAGATAGTAATGTTTCTTCACAGCACTGATGAGTTTGTTTCCAGTTCCTAAATTCAAAGTGCATCAATGAATTGATCTCCTGTATAACTCCCGGTTAATTTCACTATTGATCTTGATATTACCTGAGATTGGCTAGAATTCTGATATGATGTGAATGTCATGTATTTTGTTCTATCGAAATGGATAGTCAACAAATTTTCATCAAATCAATTTTTGATAGTTGACAAATCATCGATTACCAAACTTTTCTCTTCAATTTTTGGCAGAGTAGAGAATAACACTGTCATCAGCAAAATAATGTATGATACCTTTTGATTTCAGTTGGAATAAATCATTAAGATAATTATAAAAAAGAAGTGGGCCTAGAACACTCCCATGAAGGACAATATATTCAAAACATTTTGGATCGTATTTGTAACAGTTCGATAAATAATTTCTCTACTGTCCTCTTTTACAGGGGCGCAGCTTGCGACCTCGCGGAGACCGAGGAGCTTCGGCGAGAGACCCTGAACACCGGCCACGACTGCGCGAAGCAGTTCAGAGAGTTGCTGATGCTGGTGCTGCAAGGCAACGGCTCGGTGGACGGCAAGCAGACGCTGTCTCTGGTATCCAGGAAGATCGCGCAGAGCGTCACCGACTTGCTCAGCATAGCTAAGAAGCTGAAAGGTGAGTTGGCATTGTTCACTTTTTGTATAGTATTTGGAAAACATGGGAAAGTGGCTCTCGGTCGTAGGTGTGTTTAGATCCGAACATTTATTCCTGTTAAAATGAGAGGACTCCTTGATGCAGAACGTCTTGGGGATCGCGTCATATACATCGCCATTTTCTGCGCAAGTACTACTTACCATTAGCAAATTCTCCGTTTTTATTCAACTCAAAATGAGATTATTCTTCAAAATAAAAAGCTAGTTTGAACATTTACTCAGTTATCATTCGTGGTTCGGCTGCCGAGACGCTGATTTTGGTACCTTTACCTGCTCGGCAGGAATCATAAATTGTTATGAAAACATAATTTTAACGCATATAACAAATAATTTTCATCAAAAGGTCTCACACCTAAATAGCGACAGGCAACTGATTGAGACTGGGGCAGACATTTGTTTGGAAACATATTTGGCAAACATTTTTTGACGTGACGGCACAATGAAATATTATTTTCTGTTTCAGGTTCCGACTGGGTAGATCCTGACGATCCTACTGTGATAGCGGAGAACGAACTTTTAGGAGCTGCAGCTTCCATCGATGCTGCTGCTAAGAAGCTCGCTAGTCTTAGACCCAGACAAAACATTAAGGTTAGTAATACACATTGCATTTCTTTTCTTCCGATTTGATGTCTTCAATATGGAATTTGCCGAAGAAAAAAGAAGAACATTGTGTATTCCTGTGAGATATGTTTGATATTCTTGGTTGTCGATTCGAAAACACCCAGGAGTCAAACATATTATTACAGTGGTACACGTATCATCTGGCATGATTTTCAATCAGTACAATATAAAAATATGACTGCAACTATTTGTTCATCTAGATTTATTTCTTCAATTTGTTGAGTATATGGACCTGTTTTCTGATGTAAAACTATTTCCTAGAATAATGTGTATTCATAATCTCTAGGAGTGAAAATGAATTAAGTGTATTACTGGATATTATTTTATTATGGCGCTGCTGGTAGGAAATATTGTAAGAGTGTGTTGTTTATTTAGATAGAATTGTATTCAGAACAATGTTTTTTTTTGTAAGTAAATTGAATTCCATTCAGTCAGTCGGACATAAACGTAGTTTTGTTGGATATATCAAAATCCAAGTGATGCAGTTGGTAGGACGCCAGCCAAATCCCGTATTCCTCAGAAATATCAATAATATCGTCCATTTGCAGGCATGAATACATGAAAAATATAACAAAGGGTTAATTAATGAATTCCACTCTTTGGAATCAATTTAATATTATTTCTTAAGATGAAAGTTTCAGCATTTTATTTCTGAGTTATCAAATCATGACACTTATTTTTCATTCAAATTGTCCTGAGCAAGTATTTTATGAAATTGATTGATTTTAAACCTTCTTGTATCCTGTATATTTTTTAAATCATTTGTTTGCCAATGTTCGACTTTGGTGTATTTGCATTACTCAATACTTGTTGGAGGTATTAGACAAAAATGACCAAGTGGACGTCATCCATACGGATTTTTCTAAGGCCTTCGACAGAGTTTCCCATAAAATACTTCTGCATAAGTTGAAATATGAATTAGATTTCACAATGATCTGCTGTCTCTATTAGCATCATACCTATTGAAACTAAAACAAAAAGTGGTGGTAAGAGGATATGATTCTGAATACTTCGTTGCAACTTCAGGTGTCCCTCAGGGATCTAATTTGGGTCCATTGTTGTTCCTTCTGTTTGTGAATAACCTGCCAGAGGTGATAAATGGGTCACAGGTTCTACTCTTTGCTGATGACCTGAAAATATTTAGGACAATCAGGACTGACCAAGATTGTCATATACTGCAATCCAATATAGATTCACTTGATGTTTGGTCAAAAGAGAATGAACTTTTTTTCAACGTAAGCAAATATTATCTAATGACTTACACTCATGCTCATACTCATATTTAATTATACCATGGAAGGGGTAGCGCTAGTTACTGAAATGTGTGACCTGGGAGTGACATTTGATGCTGAACTTTCATTTCGAGCGCATATCGCAAATGCAACGCGGAAGGCGTCAAAAATGTATGGATTTATTGTTCGTAATACGAGGCAATTTACAAATATTGACTATAAAGATATTGTATATTTCACTCGTGAGGAGTATACTAGAATATGGAGCAATCATATAGAATCCCTATCACATATATCATAAATATACTATTGAGCGAGTTCAAAATAAGTTCTTGCGATTTCTGCATAACAAAGAATCTTGTCTTGAGAATCGGAGAATAGTCTCCAGTATGCTGTTTCTTTATAATCTGATACATGGTAATGTGGATGAGGTATCTGTTTTCTATCTCAAATCAACTTCAATGTACAGTCGTATTCAATAAAAAAGTGTACAAGTATTAAAAAGAGAGGATTTTGGGATCCTAGTTCTAGTTGTGTGAAACTGACTCAGCCAATGCTTCGTGTTTTCGAGAACCTATGACAACTTTACTGTCAACATTTGGTGAAAAATCATTCCCGATAGCCCGTTTCATGCATTTATGACGTTAATTTCTCTCTGTAATATACTTTTACGCTTTTTTTTTAATGCGACTGTACCAGTATATTCTACACACATTTTATATAGATTCTCATTGTACGAATATACACTCTGCTGGTCCTTTAAGTGCTATGTGTAAAACATACAATGGTATATTTCAATCTTGTGATATCTTCTCGTTGAGTTTGAATAGATTTAGATCTAGGATTTATGATCTTTATTAAGTGACTGCAATGTAAGTCTATCATATTATAAAAATAACTATTGTGAGCTGAGGTTTCTTCCTACTCTGTAATTGGGGCAACCTGTTGAGTTTGTTAATTAAAACAAAATGAAATAGGTAATTCAATTGTCTAGTCCCATAACTATAGACTGGATTGACTTCATCAAAAGCTCAATTTGATATTTTCAATTTATTCCTGGCAAAATGAATAAAACAACATATTTTGAGTTTATATAACGAAATCAGGTTGAAAATGTCTACGTTTGTATAAATTTACCATTGGTTCTAGAAAATGTAGATGAAAAATGCATTAAATTGATTTGTTTAGTAATTTCACTAGTGGTTTTAGGCGTGATATGTTTGTACTCCCAAAACGTTTGTTCATTACTATTGGCGCAGTCGGTAGGATAACGATCAATAAAATCGAACATTTCACAGACGCAGGACCTGGACGAGTCGCTGAACTTCGACGAGATGATCCTGGAGGCGGCCAAGTCGATAGCGGCGGCGACGTCGGCGCTGGTGCGGGCCGCGGGCGCCGCCCAAAGGGAGCTCATCGACACGGGCAAGGTGGCGGGCGCGCCCGCCTCATCTTCGGACGACGGGCAGTGGTCGGAGGGGCTGATCTCGGCGGCGAGGCTGGTGGCCGCTGCCACGCACAGTCTGGTCGAGAGCGCTAATGCGCTGGTACAAGGTGAGTCGGTGGTGTGCTCGTTTATACAGGGTGTTTCTTAAGTACGTGTAGAAAATTCAGGAGCATGTTGACGTCAAAATAAACAGAAAAGTTCGTATAAAGTTATTCGTTTCTGAGATACAGAGTGTCAAAGTTGAATTCTTATTTTTGTTTTTTGTCAATAAATTTCAAAATAATTGTGATATTCGAATGAAGTTTGGTATCTCAGGGTATTTTTCGATGGCAATATCAAATTTTTTGTTAGTTTGTCTCTTTCGTGGGGGTGGCGCCACCTACATGTCTTTTGAGTCTTTTGAAAAGTCATAACTTTTTTGTGCGTATCTGTATGACGTTTTATAGTAAAAAAAAAAATTTCTAAAACATTTTTGTGTGAAAATTATATTACTGGTAGAGGTGGCTGCGAGCAACTGTTTTCAAGTTATTGGGATTTGAAATAATCGATGCATTTGAATTATTTCCATGGGGTTCGTTGGTCGCCTCTAAGTAGTAAATATCAGGAAAGATACGTCAGTGCATTTTTCATCTTTCATTCAATATTCTCCTACATTCAACATTGGAATATCGGCAAAAGATGATTCTCTTCCAATTCAAAAAAGTAACAATCAAATGAAAGAGTCTTTTATCATGGACTGCCGAATCAACATTCAGAAACCTTTTTCAGCGTCTTATGGAGTCTGGTTCCTTTTAAAAAGCTCCAGTGATAGGCAGACCGTTGACTACGCTAGAACTTCAGAGATTGAAGAAGCCGTTCTTCTGGCAATCGAAGAAGATCCACAGACAAGCACGAGAAAAATTGCGCAAAATCTTACGAGCCCCATGGAAATAATTCAAATCAACTGATTTAGAAATCCGAAATGAGTTCATTGCAATAAAGTCATATAACCTGTGTGTGAGAGATAATATTTCCAATTTTCATTTCAATGCTGAATATATTGGTAAAAATCAAAGACAGAGAAAGATATATGGATGTACTCTTCCCAGGACTGATGGAGGAAGGAAGATGCGAGGATCCTTCATCGAAGCGAAAAACATATGCTTGTCCTTGTCTGGCAAAACATATGATTTGCTTCAAAATCGTTTGTGGTTATGTTTGATTGTCACTGCTTGTCTAGTGCCCGTACTGTTATATTCGCGAAAACGGACCAATAGATGGCTCTATTAAACGTCAAATCAACGTCAAATTTCCAACTGAGTATGAACAACAAAAACATTGCCGTATGCACTCATTGCAAATTGGTTATTTCCAAATCATTTTGCAAAATAGTAAATAATAAGTTGACTTCTTGAAATACGTACAAGGTATCTAGTATGGAAAAAATTACTTTTTGTGCAGAGAAATTGCCATTTTGATGTGGACAATGGTGGTATTCATCATTGATATCACATAGGGTCCCTTGATGGAAATTGACGTTAAAGTCATCTTAACAGGGTACGGACAGATCCTCGTCTCCTCTCACTCTAAAGTGTTTGTGAAACAGTTATATAGTTCCATCCTTATTCAATTCTGGGGATAAACACTAGATTTTTGACTTTCTTTGTTTTTTAGGTTACATTGAGGTCACTGGCGTATCATACGTGATTTCCATATGAAGTTTCGGTTACAACTATACCAAGATATAGATGAACAATCCTCTATAGTTTTAGAGTTTACTAATCCAGCATAAACTTTGCGAGGTAGGGAACATATGAATTGTACTGAGAGCTTAATATATTTCACCAAGAAAGATTGTATACCGGGGTTGACTGAATTGACTAAATGAATTCTGAGTTCAAGCTGAGCAGAATCTATGAGCTGAATGAGCTGAGCCTTATGATTGAGAAATGGTGGAAAACTCAATGTGGGTATCTGAACTACTGTACCCATGTCATGTGTGCTTAATATATTTTCGGAATTCCAATTCGAAGAAGAATTTATGGAGTGACTAATATCACACTATGTATAAAACTTCGTCTGGGTCGGAAAGTAGGCTGATAAGAAGTAATACGTAAAATGTACAGGAAAATAAAGAATAGAATATACTTAACCCCCATGTTATACATATGATTTTTCCGTCTCCCTTGAATAAAAAGTCATTTTCGAATAATGTATTGATGAAAGTAACAAAGAAGTTGGTATATACGCCTCGGTATACGAAGTATAACTCACAGGAACGTTATTTTCACTCTTGCATCCTACATATTTTCTATTTGTGGTGAAGTTATGATTATATGAACTAATGTCTTTCGCCATATTGGAACCGTCATCTTGAATTTCCAAATTTTGACTAAAACTCATGAACTTCGACCCCGGAAACCCTCATATACCAATCTTATATAGAATCAGATCATAATTAATAATGTCCCATATGATCTTCCTCAACAAGTAAATACCCTGTACATACCTATTATAGAAATGTTGAATGATTTTCTGTAGCGCCCATGGATGTGACGTGACAGCAATGTCAGGGATGCCAGTAGACAAAACTAAAGTCTCTAGATCATTAAAAAAGAATGCAGCTATGATCTGTCCGTACCCTGTTAAGATGACTTTAATGTCAATTTCAATCAAGGGACCCTAATATCACACTACAATCCCACAGTTTTCAAACATATGGAAGGATCGGAATGGTCCACTCAACACTTGCATGGACTGGAATGGAACCATACAAGCAATCAGCTATTACAACAACATGGTATAGGTATGAAGAAATAATTGAATTCATCAAGAAATATCACTGGCTTTTATGAAGGAGATGGAATTCTAGTGAAGGGGTTGGAAAAGAAGATATGGTTGGAGAGGCTGCTCAGAATGAACAATATCATCGATTTTCATAAACAAGGATCTCCAGCAATTGAGTGCAACCAACATTTATACAATCATTCTAATTGTGCTTCAGAAAATGTATATTATATTATTATAAGGTAGGTACTGGTTTCTTCATTGTAAACAATAAAAGTTCATGCAATAATTCGAGTCTTTTCATCAGGGAGAAATGAGGTTCTGGAATATGCACTTCAACAAATTAATTATTTTCCAATAAAAGACATATTTATGAAATTCAAAACAATGGTCGCCATATTTGTTGTTCATACTCGCAAGACTTGTACAGTTAGCCACCAGAGGCCGCACACTTCGTGATTTTCGCGAATACAAAAAACGTCAAAACAGCAGTGTCGAGTACATTTAGGAACTCTATCCCAACCTAACCTAACTCAGCCTTAACGATTGTTCTTCCCTTTTCATGTTTGGGCAACCATCTAACCTAGCTTGGCCTAAATGAATCTTCTTCTCTTCTTAGGCTTGGGCAGCGAGGACAAGCTGATAGCGGCCGCCAAGCAGGTGGCCAGCTCGACGGCGCAGCTACTGGTCGCTTGTAAGGTCAAAGCCGAGGGAGATACGGAGGCTACCAGAAGGCTGCACGCCGCCGGCAACGCCGTCATCCGGTCCACGGACAACCTGGTGCGGGCGGCGCAGCGGGCCAAGAGCGAGGAGGAGGACAGATACCTGGTGCTGAACAAGCGGATGGTGGGCGGGATAGCGCAGGAGTTCGACGCGATGTGAGTATTGGAATGGGCTTATATCACAAAAAAAAATTATTTCATAATTCGTTAGAACTCACCCAAACAGCTCACCACCGCAAACCGTTTCTTGCTGTGAGCTCCCCAAGTTTGATAAAAAAATATTGAAATCCCCGATTTTTCAGACCTCTGAAAACGAGGCGATGATGTGACGTCAAAACCCTAATACTGAAACAAGACTATTCCAGACAGAGATGAATGATACATGATTTCTGACAAAGCACCAAGATTGGTGAATCGGCAAGTTGATATTTGGGACAAATATAATAATAACAAGAAGAAGATCAATTTTAACCTATATTAACTTTTAGCAGCTCCATGTAAAACGGGTCAACAAAGCAATGTTGCTGCGTTTATGAAATATATTGGACTATTGTGAAATTGTAATGGTGCTAATGGTTTTGAGATTGAGACATTTCGTTGTCTAGAGATTGTTTATATTCCAATGATTCAACCTACAATCGACAACTTGAATATATTTTTCTGTAGTAGTGGTAGTTGGTATCAAAAGATATTTCAATATCGATTCCGATCTCTCGGGTATTTTGTTTGGATAATATGGCAACAGTGATAAGTGTCAGTTTTAACTATGGCGATATGAGGTTTCTACGTCATAAGAGGGTCCGTTTTCAGAAGGTACTTTTATTTGTTCAAAAATAAAACATTCCAGTTAATTTATCGATCGAATTATGTCGTCAATCATTATTTATGTATAAAAGGATCATTATAAACATGGTTTGAGTTGAAAGTTCTACTAAGGTGTACACGCCCATTGCCATATTGCTCAAAGTTGAGTTAAATTGATCGAAGGAAGAAATGGAGATGACTTCGAGCATTCCTTTATTCCTTTGATAAACTTCAGTCAGCAAAGTCTTCAAGTATAAGTATATTCGCGAAAATCACGAACCAATAGAAAGCGCTATTTAACGTCAAATTTCAAACTGAGTATGAACAACAAAAAAATTGCCGTATTGGTTATTGGAATTGGGAAGTTTCCTTCCAAAGAATTATCATAGAATGGGCTGTTTCAGTGAAACATATCATTTCATTATTTCGAGGTACTAACCCTATAGTCTAAGAGCTGGGGGCCTATTCCGAATGTCGAACGAAATATGTCGTATGCGACATAATATGTCGATAGAAATTGTCGCACAACGTTTAAGTGTGATATTCTCGATTGCTTTCAACTTCAAACTCGCATGAGACAAATTTTGCCGAATAGCATGAACTGGCAACATCGAATTAACGATTCTCGAATGTGTTCTGTGCCAATGTGGTGTGGTTTCTTTGTTGTTATTATGGGGGTTATGTCAATGTTAAGTTGAAATAATAATGGCCGTGGAAAGAAAAAGAGTTATTGTGCTTCATCTCAAAAGGAAACACTAAACTCGATGACAGAAAAATAGAATGAGCCACTTTTATCTGGCAGAATACATGCAGAAGACCAATATCCCTGTACCACAAATGGTTCTACCACTCACTAGCAGTGTAATGGACTCTCACTACTTCATTACCTAAATGTTTTTATATATTTTATGTCCGATAAAAATCTGAACGCATTCTTATATACGTTCTCTCGTGGCCGTTGATGATTCTCTTGATTTTCCAAATATTCAATTTCTATTAATGAAGCTGCCATTCTCAAGAAAACAAGTGAAGAAATCAGTCAAATATTCAATCTCGCATTCGACATCAAAGTGTCGACTGCTTAAGACCACTCTACAATTTGTCTATCGAAGCACTAACGTTTTTTATTCAACAATGTAGAAATCTCGCATGCAACAAAATATCTCATCATTTGAGAATAGGGTACCTGTCTACATGAGTTTCAACGATACTCGGTACAGTCACAATTTTCTTCTGGAATGGTTTCATTTATGGTGTGGAACACTAAGGTGCGAGTCTGCCTGGTCGGTCTGGGGGACTTATGTGGGGGCGAGCGGGGAAAGTTACAGAGTTTCGAAGATAATCGACGTCATTAGTTCAGTCATGAAATTTCGTGTACATATAGTATATGTGACGTTAGAAAGATATTTTGATAATTGGTAGACAGTTTTCCGGGGGCTAGTGCTGGCAGACCGCATCAAAGTGGCGAAAAAAAAAAAAAATCGAAAAATCAACGTGATAAGATAAAGTCTTGAAATTGGGTGTACGTATTGATCATAATTATATCAACTTGTGTTTATGCTGAATGGCAGACCAAAAAGTGGAGGACAACACCATGCAACTTTCCCCGACAAATCTTTGAAATTGATGTCATGTAGAGGGTGATTGATTAGGTATTTCATGCTTTTAACACTCAATAACTTGAAAACAAAATAAGATATTGAAAACTTCAAAACAAAATCTTGAATCAGACGTTCTTCTCTCTCAAATGATGCCCTCCAAACATTATATTTCCATTCCATATATGAGAGGGTTGTAAATTATAGTTCAATCGACATTTTTTTGATACATCTACTTGATTTGCCATACTTCCGGTTTTACCGGAAGTGACCCCAACTTTCGATTTCTAAATGGGACACCCTGAACGATACTATTGTCTTTACTCGGATGAAATAGTAACCACGCCTGGAAAATTCTTCATTTTCTTCCTAACCATACTAAATGATGAATATGTAAACATAAATATAAATACATTCATGTTTTTTCTGCAGATCGGACATATGTAGAATAGAACGAGAACTGAAGGAAGCTCAGAACAAACTGAGCGCCATTCGCCAGGCAAAGTACAAGCTGAAGGGCTACAACACTTCAGGAGATGAAACTGACGGATACGTCAGCTCCGTACAAGAATTCGATACTATGAGGTGAGTGTGGAATATGCTGTTGTTTTGCATCGAACGTGTTTTTATTTTAATCTGAAGAGTGATATAAATCTGAGCACTTTAGATCTATGAAAGATGTAGTTCGATATTTTTGTATTGCATGCTGATTTGGATTTTAACATAATTTATTTTTTATCATTTCCAGTACTATTTATTGCTCCTAAACAACTTTTTCCTGATTAATAATAGCTGAGGTGTCACTATATTCATATATAGAGGTTGTTATAGAGGGTTGGGCATATGTATTGTGTGGAAACACCTAATTTTTGGCTAAACCAGAAGTATTATTTTTTTCAATCAAGACTTTTCTAATTTTTTTCTGTTCTACACAGTGGCCAAATGTTGATTTTCTGGTAGCTGTCATATTGTAAATATGGCGCAGTCAGCAGTTTTTTCAAATAGATCAATCAGCCTTTATGTGATTATTTTTCGGAAAGCTGTTCTTTCAACTTACATTTATATGAAGTTTCACGTGTTTTTGATTGGTGTTAGAGAAATATAAGATAAAATAAAATTGATAAAAATGTCTATATTTGACTTTCATTCCTTGAGTTGTCAGAAAAATAATAAAAAGTGTTCAATAGTAGACCTTCTACTGCTTGCCAATAACCAAACATATCAACGAATCCAGTGAAGGACGAACTGATTTTTGAGAAATATCTATTTTTTTCTCAAAACTACTCGAGGAGTGTTGATAGGTTAGGTTATTAAAAAGCAGCTGAAGGTCTACAGTTTGAACACCTTTCATAGTTTTTAGACAAGTAAACGAGAAAAAATCAAATAAACATATTTTATCAATTAATATTTCGTCTTATATTTCTTATTATATTTCAACAACTAACAATCACAAACACGCCCAACTTTGTATCAATGTGAGAAGAATAGCAAACCGAAAACATATTTACATACCATTTAAAAAAACAGAAGGAATTATCAGAGTCTCGAATGAAAGAAAAAAAACGTCCGAAATTAGGTGTTCCCACACATATGCCCATGAAAGAATTGGCTCTTTCGAAAAAATACTTCTAAAGAAGACTCGTTTTTATGTAATAATATATACCTACTCTTTCCTCTTTAGGCAACTCTCTGCTTTCTTCCACATGACAAGTCTGATTTTTTTTTTTTTTTGATAATTTGTATTTGTAAAAGGAATATTGTGACACCCACTGTATCTTTTAATATTATTTCTGTTGATTTGGTTAACTCTTTGAATGTTTCATGTAGTTTCTTCTAAATTAATATATCTTCTAGTAGGTACTATGTATTCGATACTAACTATTTTGATTGTTTGTTGCATGCACAGGGTGAAGGTTATAACTAAAGAAACTAATGAAAATTGAAATGGTGAGTACTCTTATCAGTTCACATGCTAGTATTCAATACAATCGACATTTTTTTGAAATATTTAGCTGGATTTAATTGTTTCAATGTCTTCTTTTCTATGATGGAAACTTCTTTTATTCAAAATAGATGTGCTGCTCATTATTTCATGTACTATTTGTAACTTGCTGTAAACATACATGTCAATGAACTTTTTTTAAATTTATTTTTCCATGCATCAAACCTTGTGATACCAAAAGAATTACTAAGAATTTCCATAATGTGTTGCTTTGTAGAAGATTTATCTGTACCTGAAATAAGCAAAACTGAGATTCTGTAATTTCCAGGAGCACCAGGGGATACGATTCGTCGCACTCGCAATCCAGCCCGCAGCAGAAATACTACTCCGACACCTACTCCCACCTAGAGAGCCCTCAAAAAGTCAACTCTTTAGAGCACAACAAGACCAACCTCAGACCGCACACCAACAACTCGATATACGATCACATCGACCACTCGCCCACCTACAACCCCTACTCGCAAAACTCCATTTTCTCCCCCAACGACACCTACTCCCAACCGTACGACAAACACTATTCGGACGGGTACTCCAGCTCCGAATACGTCACCAACACCATCAAAACCCCCGAAGGTTACAAATCCAACGCGTTCAAGTACGAGAACTACCACTCCACTCCCCAACCCACCTACTCTTCCAGTAGCGAGAAGTATTACTCGAGCTTGCCGGCTGTCATATCTCCTTTGGAGAAGAAGAGCTTCGAGACTTTTACTAATGGCGACACCCAATACCAGTCGTCTTTCGCTACGAACGTGGAGTATATCAACGAAGCTCCCGTGTTGAAGGACGAGGAGACGCTGGAGCAGCGGATGCTCAAGAAGTCCGTGACGCAGCAGATCATCGAGAAGAAGACCGTTTCGATGACGAGAAGTAGCAAGCAGGAGTCGTCGACTAAGAGTTTTAGGTTCGAGTGAGTTGTCACAGTGGTAGTGGAAAATTTTTGGTATAATGGATGGGATGAACTATAGTGAACACAGTGATACTGGTGGACAGGAAAACGATAAGTAACTAGTCGAGGAAATGAGGATAGATAAGACAAAGTTAATTTGTTTAAATTCGCCAATAGAAAAATGGATAGTTTTCGACTACAGACAGCAGAAGGAAGATCGTTCCATTTGGCCCCATAGAAAAATTGATATTTTTGGAAAATATTAGTCATACAGAGAGCAGAAGGATGATCGATACATTTGGCGCCCGAGCAGGGACCTAACAGTGAATTGCTGCAAATATTATCTACCTCCCATATTTTGTCTTCTCTGTGCACTATCTCTTCACTCCTGTCACTTTTCCTTGCTAATTGCTCACAATATCTAATATTTCCAGATATTTCAATTTCCTTTACGACGAATTTGTGCAAATTCTCGGTTTCTTTTCTATTTTATAATTCCTCCCATTTCCATGATAAGGTAGGTACCCATTTCATTCATTATATAAGTCTTTTCTACTAACTGTTTCATGGTGGGTGAAAATAACCGGATGTCTGTGAAGTTAGGACTTTTCACTCAGATGAGCCATCTAATCAAACAATGCCTAATCAAAGGTACTAAATTTTTGTACACTAAAGTTGCTGTCTGGAGGATATTTGAGATTATATGACCACACTCCTTGTGAACTGAGGTTATTCGAGGCCACTTACAAAGTGACTTCAATACATCATAAAACATTACATTTCTTTGTTGACAACTAGAAAATATATTTGGGCTGCCTTCTATTTTGCCACTATGGCACAATTGAACCTTTTGCCTCATAGATTCATTGTTATTGTTTTCAATGGTTATTTGAGGTTAGGAATACATGGAAAATGAAAAATCCAGTCAATCATGAGGATATGATGGGATTGATGTTATTGACATCTTGATAAGAAGGTCTATTGATTATGGAAAATGACATCGATAATTAGGGTTCCGATTATCTATATGTTGTGTTCAATATTTATTTTATTGTATAAAAGTGTATACAAAATTCTTGACCCCAGTGCCATTTTTCGAATTGGTGAATTGTATATTCTTTACTTAATTGAGTGTCCTTACATCTTTGATGGTGCTGTGTTTCTGCTTATTTGAATTACATATATTATTCATTTCAATAACCAAAAATATTTATTTTTAATGTGCCAATAATATTGTATAAGCTTTTTGAAATTTTATAATTTTAGGTTGTACATTGTTAAACTTTTTATCATATTCAAAAGAACTAAGTGCCTGCCGTTTTTTATGTATAAGATTATATATTATATGTTGACATGGTAACAAGACTTAGTAGTGCCTAATACTTAATATGCCTTATAAAAAAATTATATACCTACTAGGAATGTTAACTGATAATATAAAGGAGTTCAACAGTGAATTGAATAAAATATCATTTAACATGTTTGTGTTTTAATGAACAAAAATTTTATAAGAATTGAATTTTTGAAAACTTGTTATCACAAAACGCTTCAAAATGGTCCTAGACAGTCCTTTGGAGTAAATAGTAACTCTCTATAGGTCCCCTGCACGATAACCGACCCTGCTGGAGGAATAACATTTATATTGAGTTTATCATAGTTCATTGAGGGCTAGAGCTGAATTGAGCCATATTGAGCTCTCTACTTTTCTACCTCAAACGAGAGAAAGAGGAAAGTTGTCTCCTCTCCCATCTTTCTCTTGAGTGCTACCAACGTGGTCGCATTGAAATATAGAGATATCCGATAAATATTTCCTTGTCTAACGTCTACTCTGCGCCACTGAACTATTTTCGAATGATATGACATGTCTATGTCATAAATGTCATTGACTAATAACCTTTTGGTTTTTTTAAATTAAATTTCGAATTATATCATCCTTATGTTGGCATCATTTGTTAATATCGTTAAATCTGAGGCTTTGCTGAATTCAGAAATAGTTCAGTGGCACAAATTAGATGTTTGACAAGGACAGATTTATCGAACCTCTCATTGAAGAGAAAGATGGAAGAGGAGCACTTTCCTCTCTCTCGTTGGATATAGAAAAGACCTCAATAGATTCCCATATCATATCATATAGATTCCTTCCTCACTTTTCTGTAAAACATGGAAACTAGGAAACACAACCAGAGTTTTTCACAATATTTTGGCATTATGAGTCATGTTGTTTGACCTATTCATTATTTCAAGCATGCCATCACATTGTGCTGTTGTACAATGCACAAAAAATGCAGGGAGAGATGAAGGAATCCGATTTTTCAGGTGAATAGTGATCTTACATAGTTTTCATCATTGTCTGCAGAACATGGAGAAAAAATCTAGTGAGCAGTAACTACCCAGCTCACTAGATTTTTTCTCTATATTTAGCAGATAATGCTAATGAGAATTGAGAAATGGCAAATTTTCAAAATGAAAACTATGCATTTAGAGTACTTTTAGATCACATAGTTGTGTTCCATATTTACATTGGAATGCTCAGATCAATCTGTATTATTCCATCCTCAATTTTGAAAAATATACAACATGTTGATCCTGAGCAATGTCAGCAAGAGTTATGAAGAAATTGTCAAAATAATACCAAGTGGAAGCTATTAGTAAATTTTTTTCAATTGATAAATTCTACAGCTACCTATTTAGAGGTTATTTTGTATAGATTTGTGATTCACCTGGATGAAGAACTAGAGAAATAAAATTTCAAAGCTGCTTTTAACCTTCTATTACCAAATGTCTAAAAATTCTCATTGGCATTCATAAGTTATATATTCATTCAAAAATGATGGTGGTTGTGAAGTTTTACTATAAAAATGAGTTCTAGTCTATACTCCAGTTTTTAATACCTCCAGGGTCTGTCATCTGATAGATCTTGCAGGCAATGAGGCAAAATAGCACTGTTTTTTCTTCTTGCTACTATGATGGAATATAATATCCAAGCAGAGTAAAAAAATTGGTGGGTGAACATATTATATAACCATGACAGATTGGGAACTACCAGCTAGTTCTTTGACATGAAGGGACACACCATATTTATTTATATTAACCATATCTATTAGGACAGAATATACCTAATAAATATGATAATGAAATGCAATAGTTTTGATAGTAATGCATTGTTAATGCCTAGCTGGAGCAATAGTTGCCAGGTAGTTTGTACTGAAATTAATCAATGTTCTATTCTGTCTCAGAGTATTATCACCCTGTAAGTTATCAAACCACCTGCAGACATTCAGATATCTTTCCTTTTCCAGGGTTGCCAGTGATTCCTGAAATGATTTATTCATATGAAATTCTTAGTTACTGGAAGCTAATAGCACATTTTATTATCTAGAATAGGTACCCATTCAGTACTTACCATGACAGTGTGTAACTTGTAAAATAAAAAAGCATCAGCTATTGTGAACCTATGTGCAACAAAGTAGGTTCTTGTAGATAGAAATCCGTTCAATTCCTGTAAGATAGCAGATTCATATCATTAAACAACTATCATAAAGTGCAACATAAACAATCACTCACACATAAGATGAAGTTGAGATTTGAACCTTGTGTTTTAGACAAATAGAGAAGTCCGTATTCAATCCACTGCTGGATTTCAGCACTTTCGCCCGTATTAGATGGTCCCAAGTTTGATTTTGAATCTTCCAATAATTTAAATATTGTGGAAATCACTCCATTCCCTGCAGGGCTCTAGAACAGCAATCAGTTTGTAAACTATTATGGCATCAATTGTGTATTACCTTTCCGTCTTTTGTATTGGTTTTTAGCTTTACTTTCAAGAATGAAGCAATAGGTTTCAAATGTTGTTCAACAGCTGTAACCATTATAAATTATAATTGATTTGAATGATGTGAAATGAAGATGTTATTTTTTGAGATCTTGGGCCTTTGGGAGTGATCCAGGTTTAATTTATCATCTTCTTTTTTTGGAGTTGAATGTGGTCATGTTTTTGGGTATTCGGGTACACTATCATCATGACATTTGAACTACTCCTTTACAGCTATAATGCCAATGAGCTTTAACGCTTATATTCTTCCTTGACGCAAGTACCGAGGAAAAAGATGATTATCTGAGATCTGAGGTTAATTCCATTTTCAAAATGTTCGGTTAGGTTCAAGCTTATTTTTTTGAATTATTACTGAAATAAATATGTTTATCCTGTTCAACACTGTTCAAAAGCGTATTTTGAAACTGACAGATTCAACTACAAAACTACTGAAGAAATTTCCATGTCATAACCTGAAAGCACAATCACTGGTATCCCCTAGGAGGTACTTTGCTGAAGAGAAAAAGAACATAAATGTAGGCACAATTGGACATGTAGATCATGGTAAAACAACTTTAACAGCTGCTATCACAAAGTACCTACAAAAAAAGGGGCTTGCGAAGTATATTTCTTATGATGAAATTGATAAAGCTCCAGAAGAGAAAGCTAGAGGTATTACTATTAATGCTGCACATATTGGCTACAGTACTAAAAAGCGAAGCTATGCTCATACCGACTGTCCAGGGCATGCTGATTACATAAAAAACATGATATCAGGGGTATCACAAATGGATGGAGCAGTATTAGTTGTTGCAGCTACTGATGGACAAATGCCTCAGACCAGAGAACATATTCTGCTAGCTAAACAAGTTGGTGTCACCAAAATCATTGTTTATATCAATAAAGCTGATGCAGTTGATCAAGATGTGAGTAGATAGTAGGTGATTTCTTCACTAAATTATAACTCAGGTCAGTCAAGTTGTAGGTGCTGGAACTAGTTGAGTTGGAAATCCGTGAACTTCTTGAAGACTTTGGATTCAATGGGTCTGACTGTCCAGTCATCATTGGTTCTGCCCTGGAAGCTTTGAATGGAAAAGACACAGATTTTGGTGAAAAATCCATCTCAAAATTGCTGGACACATTAGATACATACCTACCTGAACCAGAAAGAGACTTGAAGTCTCCTTTCATGGTACCAATAGACAATGCTTTTCTGGTGCCTGGTAGAGGAACAGTAGTTGTTGGTACTATTAGCAGAGGTATTGTGAAAAAAAATCAAGAAGCTGAATTGCTAGGGTTTGATAATCAAATCAAGACTACTATATCAGATATACAAGTATTCAAAAAGAGTGTACCAGAGGTAATGTTTGAATTGAATCATCTAGAGGTTGAATTCAGTTGATTTCTCTTTCAGTCAAGTGCTGGTGAGAATATAGGGGCTTTGTTGAGAAATGTTCGCCTGAAGAATGTTAGCAGAGGCATGCTTTTATGTGCCTCTGGCAGTGAAACTCTGAGTAATCAGTTCAAAGCAAGCATTTATTTCTTATCAAGGGCAGAAGGGGGTCGTTCAAAACCAATTACAAGCAGATACTGTCAACAGTTATTCAGCAGAACTTGGAATGTACCATGTAGAATAGATTTAGGTATGTGTATTTTACTTTCCAAATGGGCTTTTCCAGTATCATAAGATATTTGAACCTTTTTCACTGTTATTTTATGAAGGGAAGTTGAAAACATTATCCTGAGGACAAATTAACTATTCAATACTGGAAATGCTTTCTCAATACCTGTGAATTCAAAGGCTACTGAGCTGTGATGTCAGTGTCTTCTTGCAATTTGATTAGGTGGTTCTGAGGCTGGGAATCACTGCTGTTGCCAGATCTCTATAAAATCCTTGAATTGATCCCATGTACAAGATGGTGCAAGGAATGCAATGTTTCAAAATTACTATGTAGTAGGTGTGATTCATGATTGGTAATAATTTACTGCTGATCACATTCAAATTACTCTGAACTCCAAAGTATTCCATTTGCTTCAAGATAAGCTAGGATAAAATGTAATACCAGCATCTAACAGTAAGATGCTTTTTATATACTTAATTTGTTTTTAGTTATGTTGAAATTTTGGTGACTAAGTGTAATAATCATCAAATTGAACAGTGTTACTATATCTCAAGCACAAATTCAATTGCTAATCTGGCAACTATGTATTCCCATGAAGCAACTGGTGCTAACAAAATATTGCCAAGGCAGTGATGCTTGTACTAAAATCAATAGAAATAGAACCAAGTAAGCAATTTAGTATTGATGGATTCAGAGTTTGTTGTTTATTTCCCTATGGTAGGTAGGTAAAGGTAGGTACATAATAGGTGAGTACTTAAATTTGAAAGTACTTCACTGGAAGGGTTTTGAAACTGAATGTCATAAATGTCTGCACTCTGTAATTCAATACAAAATGAAATTTCACATGCAGTTTTGAATAATTCTCCAACAGAGATAAACCAACTAACTAATCATGGAATGCAAATTTTTAATACCACAAATTTTCATGTAAGTAGTCAGTTGAGTTATCTGATTTTCTATTTGCTAAAATGAAAAAAATCAAGGAATGAATATCTGACTAATCATAGATTTCAGTACATATGATAAATTGATGGAAAAAAATCTTAAAAAAAATTCCAGAGCCATGTATTTCAAGATATATTTTTTCTAGAAATTTCTGGAAAGGCCTATTGTTCATAAACATACAGGCATTAATATTCATAGGGATTCAGTTATGTTGTCTCAAGATCATTTCTAATCAGTATATTTTTTATGAATATTTTTTTTCTAGATAATAATTTAGAAATGCTGATGCCTGGGGATCATGGTTCCATCAAACTAACTCTTCTATGGAAAATGGTGATGACATTAGGACAACAGTTCACAATTCGAGAAAATAATGTAACAGTAGCTACAGGAATTGTGACAGAAACATTGCCAAATATTAATATCAAAACCAATTTGGGAAAACTTGAACTTTGATAGGTTTTATATGAAGTTTTCATAGAATATTCTTCAAGAATAATGTCTTCAGTCTGCTGTAAATTTCCAGAAAAATTAAGAATTGCTGAAGTTTTTACTCTACTTTCAGGTTGTATTAATTTCATATTAGTGGTATTTCTGAACCTGCCTGTGCGCCTGAATATTTACATTTCCTATGCAAACTATAGGATATCAATAAAGAACATGAAAAGCTTAGTTTTTGTTGACACAAGATGATGAATATGAAGACCTGGATAATATCCATATTTATATGCCTCTTCATCAGTAATATTAATAAATAAATATCCACTTAAAAACTAATCATCTGAAACTGATGATGTTCTCTTTTCCATTATGTTTAGTCATACTTCTCGTTTTTCTTTCTTCCTATGTTTGTATATGTTTACCAGGTGTCACACTCTGGTGTACCCTAGAGTGAGTATTCTAGTGTTCCCCCCCTTCCCTCTTTTGTTTTTCTAGCTATATTTCTGAAATTTGAACATCTAATATGCTCACTGGGTACTTTTATCACATTTTAGATTTCTTTTTCATTTTCTGGTCTTCCTGAAAAGGAATTCAACTTTCGATTTTCTAAAGTTTTCATATGCTCAATGGGTGTGACGGCGCAATATCGAAACTTCTTTCTCTGTCACACTCATTGAGCATATGGAAACTTTGGAAAATCGAAAGTTAAATTCATTTGCTGAAAAACCAGAAGAAGAAAAAAATCCTATAATGTGAGAAAGTGCCCTCTAGTGAGCATATTCGATATTCCAAATTTCAGAAATATAGCTAGAAAAACAAAGGAGAAAAGGGGGGCACACCATATGAGTCTGTGTCACCCGGCATACAAATTGACTTACATATATATAGGAGGAAAGCAAGAGGGAGGGTATGAAAGAACCTCAAAAACAATCTATTAATCTATGGATGAATAAAATAAAACATACATGTAAATAAAATCATCATCTATGGTGACGTTTCAAATTTCAGAAATATAGCTAGAAAAACAAGGAACAAAAAGGGGGTATTCTTCTCTTAGCTCAACCTGTTTTCTGTGAGAAAATCAAGGTGGAGAATTTACTGGTTTTGGTTTTTTGATGTTTTTTCAATCACATTTTTCTTATTTCTTTCCTTCTAAGGTAATATGTGAGTCAATGTGTATATCATTCTTTATCTTGCTTCCATCCTAAGGTATGCAAGTCAATGTATATACACAGGGTGATTAAAGTTTCAAGGTACGAACTGGAATGGTGATAAATCTCATCATTTGAATCACAAAACTTTATATTAATATGGTTCCCATCTCAATCAGTAGTGGAGCCACAAGGGGTCAACATGGAATTATCTATTTTATCAATTGAGATATATCTACCTCTCTTCTGGGTATGGTCAATACTTTCTGAAGATCATAATTTGAAGCCTTTTGAAGATTTTCAAAATTCACAAGGTGATACATTTTTGGAGGTAGAGGCTTCTTCATCCCCCAAATTTTTCTTTGTACCACTTTGACATCTTCCAATTACCAAATAGGGTAGATCGTTCACTTTGAAGTCTTTTTTTGCTCCTTACTTCTTTTCTAGAAATAAACTGTATTTCTTTATATATATATATCAATTTTTTTTGTGTTCATAAATATATCTGAGAATATTCCTTTTCAATATACTTTCACCCAATCAAGGTACTCAAACTTGAACGATAGAAACTTGTTATTTTTATAGACCTAATTTTCAGATTTTCAATTTTGAACATTTCTTCTAATGAGAATGATTCAGTTATTTTATATAATTGATTTGTTGGTGTATCATATGGTAAACGATACAGTACTTTCAAAAACCTTTAAATGCTTGATTGATTCTCCAGATAGTATTAACTACACCAAATTTCAAATTGATATCTCCAAAAGTGAGCAAGATATTTCAATTAAAAGAAAAAAATAACTAAAATTTGACCCTCCGTAGCTCCGCTACTGACCTAGATCGGACTCATGTTTATAAGAACTTTTTAAATCAAAACGGAGAGATCACCCATTTCAGTGTGAACCTCGAAACCTGAATAATCAATCTGTATAGTAATTTTTTTCTCTTCTTCAAACCTATTTTCGGTAAAAACATAAGGTGAAGCATTGATTGTTCTTGATTTTTTGAAAATGTTCCTAACCTCCTATGTTACCTGTCAATGTGTGTACAGTTACTATTTTTGTCTATTTTTTATGAGAAAATCGAGAATTTTTTTTTCATTTATGAATCTTTTCAATCATATGTTCTGTAGGTACCTACCTATTGCTACCCTCTAATGGTATATTATATGCTCAACACTGAATTACTTCCGAATTCTGAATCCCAAACCAGGACCCAAACAGGCATGGCGTTGCCATCAAAATAAATGGGCAGAGTCTATCATATGATTGAGTCATCAGTTTACAATAATGCTGCTGTAGAAATTCTCATTCAGACATTGTGAAGTTTTTTCCTGGATTCCGGGACGATCCTTTTTTTCAGGCAAGTATATTATGTACCATTTAATTTTTCATAAATAGTGCCTATAATGCCATGACGAATTTGATAATATAATGAAAAAACTACTTTATTATGGAATTATATAATCTGTATCTATAATTATTATTTAATTTATCATCATTTATAAAGCTCAACTTCCAATATTCATTATTATTTACATTGTTACTGTTTTTCTTCTTATTATTAAAAATTAATCATATCAATAACTATCAAAACCTAATATGTAGAGACAATGTCCCATATCAATTAACTCATACATAAAATCGCCTTTACTCAATCTCTGAAAGTAACAGTCCTAAGTGAATCTTCTGGTAAGATTTCCATCAATGCTATAGTGCCATCATTGAAACAAAAAGATACGCCTCCATCAACCACCAGACACGCATCAAAACAATTGGATTTTATTTCGATTTTGGAAGCAAACCCCCTGGATTTGATGCCCTTGGGCTGGGGCCAAACACCCGCAGAAATCAGATCTCTTATAGTGTAACCCATTTTCTGGTCATCTACAATTTGAAACATAAAGATCATATTCTGATTATAGTGCCTATAGTACCATATAGATCCATACTGTGTATGTACATACTTTTGTGCATATTCTAGATATCTAGATGAAAAAAAAAAAATGACACTCCAACAACGAATGAGATTTGCAAAGACAGGTTACAGAGACAGATGTTGATAAAATTTGGTACAATCAAATTAGAAGTGGAAATAGATGAACAGATGACCCAATAGGCGTGTAGACCTTAGTAGAACTTTTAACTTAAACCATGCCCAGCCAACAAAGATACATCTCTGAGATATCGCTGCGATGTCACTTCGTGACATGCGACTCGCATCGTTACGTCTCACGGACATCCCAGCGACTCACTTTTGTCACACTCATGATGCATGTTTGCGATGTCTATGCTATGTAGTTCTGAGATGTAGTAAGGATGTCGTCTAATAACGTATCAGGGATGTAGCACAGCGACTCAGCAGCGATGTAACACAGTGACTTAGCAACGATATCTTTACTGATATATTCAAGAGACGTCAACGTCTATGCGACTTTAAAAACAAACAACAAATAGAAAAACAAAATATATTTCCAATAAGAAAAAAATAGATAAATTTACAATAAAAATATAAATGAAATCTCTTCCAACCATAAAAACACTATAGTGTAACATTGAATTATTTACAAAGTACAAAATATATTAACAATAACAATATAAATCATATCTCTTCAAAACACAAAAACACTAGCATAGCACATATTTACATAGCATACATTTGATTCAAAATCAATTCTATGTTGATCCATAATACCCAAAGCGTTCTTTATCAAACGCCTTTTATGTCGAAAAGAACGTTTGGACATAATTATTATGAAGGAGAAAAGGAATACTGGAATCTCACTCTGATACTTCACTAAAATACTCACAGTTCACTTTCAGCTTTCAGTTCATATCACGATAAACATGTTTATAATGATCCTTTTATACATAAATAATGATTGACGACATAATTCGATCGAAAAATTAACTGGAATGATTATTTTTGGACATAAATAATAGTACCTTCTGAAAACGGACCCTCTTATGACGTAGAAACATCATCTCGCCATAGTTAAAAGAAAATACCAAACGCCCGACGGAGACTGAGGCAACTGATATATTAATTCTTTCAACTGTGATCTCGCGCTAATTCACTCTGTCAGAAATCATGTATCATTCATCTCTGTCTGGAATAGTCTTGTTTCAGTATTGGGGTTTTGACGTCACATCATCGCCTCGTTTTCAGAGGTCTGAAAATCGGGGATTTCAATAATTTTTTATAAAACGTAGGGAGCTCACAGCAAGAAACGGTTTGCGGTGATGAGCATTTTCCATCAGTTATTTCTCTCGAAAAACTGACATTAGACAAAATTGCTCGATCTACGGTCTTGCAATTTTTTCATGTCAGTTTTGCTCGTAAAATCGGCAAATGTTTTACGTTACCTACCAAGAGAAATTTATTCCATGAAAAAAGCTCCTGTGTTTTCACTGTTGATGAAAGGGCGGAAGAGGGGTGAAATTGAGGGTAAAATGAATGCTACAAAATCAGACAACTACCTACCTGATCATGTTCAGATAGAAGTACTCTACATATTTTTTTAAGGAAAAACCTCCAGAAAAATAGAAATGAAATTTCATTTTCTGAGCCCCAACTTGTTACTCTTATTACAGAAAATTGAATCATTGAATTCATAGTATTCCCACTTTCAATTTGATGAGCAAGTTTTGTTTACATCAGATCTCAGTGTTCTGCCTTTGGAGATCTTTGTTGATGGATATATCCCATAGATGTTTTCATTCTAGTACTAATTTGAATATAAAAATTCACATAAACTTACCTGGAGGAAAAATTAAGCTTTTGTTGTATATATCAGACAAAACAGTAGCTAGACTATCTTTTCTTTCAGCAGAATTGATGTCAATTAATCTGAGTAACTCTGCAACACTTTGAACAGGCAACCTGTTGATGCTTGAATGCCAGGAAGTAGATCCTGTCCCTGTTGATACACAAATTCCGGAACACTTTATGTTAGTATTCTCCATTGAGCCATTCAGCCTCATTTGTAAATGTGATACTCTTGCTGATAGTTTTTCACCCACAAACACCTAAAATAAAAACAAAAATTGAATATTTGATTAGAATCAATGTCTCAATCTCAAAGTATGACAATGGTTACAGCACTTACCTCATTAAGTGCTAAAACTGGTAAAATATTATATCTTCCATTCTTCCTTATTGCTTTGGACTTAAAAATTGTATTACTATCACTATCAAATTCATGTAAAAAACTTGGAACCAAGTTGTCATCATCACTAACTACCAGAGTTGTTCTTATCCTACTACGCAGCAGCCACTCAAATTTTCCCTAAAAATTAAATTTTCACTTGCAATACCACTAGAGGTCAAATTATTCCCGGAAATTTTTTCAAGCTCATGGATATTTTGAAAATTATTACGAGTCGGAGACAAGGGATAATTTTTGAAATATTCATGAGCAAGAAAATGTGCCCGGAAAGTAATTTGACCTCGTGTGGTATTCGGTAAGAAAATTTCACACCAGATTGTGTTTGGAAATTACATAGTTTCAGAATTTATTTGTTCATTTGATTTGCATAAAGGTTCATGAATGAATTTAGTTTGGGGCGCAGTTTCTACCTATTATATTTGCATGAAAATACTAGTTTAAAATGTAACATATTATACAGGGTGGCCCACGGTCGATGGTACCTTAGACGTATACGGAAAACGGTACATTGGATTATCCTGAAAATTTGGTTACTCTAATAAGCGTTTGTGATCTAACGATACAAAATATTTTCAGCGAAGCAGCGTTGCCACTTTTACCAAAAAGTAGCATCATCTTTGTTATTTGAGATGGAACACCCTGTATTTTATTGCGTTTTTAGATTCTTCTCAAAGAGCTGATTCCATCAATGTATCACACTTGGGGTCTAGCAGGAATTATTACAGAGATATAGGGTGTTCAAAATCGAGATTTTTCAACTTTAGGATTTTTTTGTGTCGAAACTATTCATCATTGGTCAAAACGGCTTGCATGTCCCTATATTAACTTCTGATCAACTATCTACCGACATTTAATTGGAAAAAATACAGGATGGTCCAAGATTCAGAATTTTGATCACCCTGTATCTGTTCCGATTAAATGTCAGTAGATAGTGAATCAAAAGTTAAGATAGGGACATGTAAGCCGTTTTGATCGATAATGAATAGTTTCGACACAAAAAATTCCTGAAATTGAAAAATCTCGATTTTGAACACCCTATATCTCTGTAATAATTCCTGCTAGACCCTAAGTGTGATGCATTGATGAAATCAGCTCTTCGAGAAGAATCTAAAAACGCAATGAAATACAGGGTGTTCCATTTGAAATAACAAAGATGATGCTACTTTTTGGTAAAAGTGGCAACGCTGCATCGCTGAAAATATTTTAAATCGTTTGATCACAAACGCTTATTATAGTAACCGAATTTCAGGATGATCCAATGTACCGTTTTCCGTATACGTCTAAGGTACCATCGACCGTGGGCCACCCTGTATACTTCCATTTTATATTAACTTTGGGATACAAGTGATAAGAAATTAAAATTTAGTCAATTAATTTTTCATAGGTATAGTAGTAGTAGAGAAAGGGGAGGCGGTCGTCTATTGTAGGCCCCAGTGAGCCTTTTTTGCCGACCCCTGCTGCACACGTCATGTGCACATAATATGTACTATTCCTTCTCCTAATTCTTCTTTTCGAAACTCCGTGGATTTCTGATGAAGGTCAGTATGTCCGTCCACCTTAGTAATTTGATCTTCCGATCTTCCTGTTGAAGCGTATCAGTACCAGAGATTTAGAATTTTTGCCTTCCATAACGCCTCACACTGGCCCAAGTAGTGATATGACATTCTATATAATAGATGCAGTTAGGGCATCGATGGATTCTTAGCCTATTAATTGTTGATTTTTACCCAATTGAAGTGGCACAAAATAACTTTTTTAGGACGACAAAATATTATTCTGTCATTAAAACGTCATAAAAAAATCCGATTTCATACGCTGGTGGGTATACCTTTTCACTGAAACACTTACACCACAGTACCACACTCCTCAGTAACGAATGAGTAACGTTTTTTGGAATTAAATTATTATAATACAATTAATACACACCAGGAATATAAAAACAAGAATACTATGTTGTTATTGTTGTTTCTCAATGACGAATGCCCATGGTGGTTGACACTGTTGACATTTGACAGAACGTTAATAATACCCGCCATATTCGAAATGGCCAATCAGGATTTTGTGTTGGAATTATAGCCAATGAGACTTCACCTTTGCATTACCCAATGAATTGTTGGATCTAAAAACGAGCGCATGCGTCTTGAAAATATATCTAGATGAAAAGGCCTAGGTATTTAACTGTATAAAAATCACGGGTGTGGAATTTTCTAGAGAATATCAAAACTAATGGGTATAATTTTGTATTTTCATTTACTTCTTGTAACCGTTCAATTGCTTCTTGGATATTGGTCGAATATCTTTTGGGAAGACACAAATATCCTTCTGAGCGATTTGGATCTGAATTAAACCCCACAACTAGTTTCTTGTTGTCCATGACCATGCTTGCAGCCAACAGAAAGGTACCATCACCTCCTGTTGGTATTATTATGTCTGCTTGATCGACTTTATCACCAGTGCAATTGAATCTGTGGATGAACATTTTTAGTAAGGTATACAGGCCACAGGGGCGGAACTGCATCGATCAATATATAGAAAACCATATAGGTGGGCCGAATTTGAAAATTTGGGAGTACACTATTGTTGATCCCAGACAGCACCAGATATTCCGTGAATCTCCCTATCATATTCCTTTTGGAATATTGGAATATTCTAGAAATAATCTGGAATATTCCGGAATATCTGTGGAATATTATCTAAATATGCGAATGGGAATTCCTCAGATAATCATAGAATATACCCAAGAGAATATTCTATGTTGAATGTTCCTGGAATATTCCAATAAACATATTCTAAAATTAAAAAAAGTGACCCAAGTAGGGATCGAACTCGTGACCTCAAGACTATCAGAGCAACGCCTTGACCACTAGGCCAGTAATCGAATTGAATAATGTTTTACATATCAAGTTCTTGTGAGAGCATTGTTCGAAATCGGATCATAAACACTTTTTGTTTCAAAATCCCCTTACATCTAATTGATGTTCGATACTCACATCTCGGAAATAATAAATGGTATTTATGTGTTGAGAAACATAGGAATATTCATGGAATATTTCAAAAATATACACCACAGAATATTCAGTTGAGAATATTTCATGAATATACCGCACAGAATATTCAGTTGGGTATATTTCATGAATATACCGCACAGAATATTCAGTTGGGTATATTTCATGAATATACAACAGAGAATATTCAGTTGGGAATATTCCTGGAAGATTCATACCTGAATATTCCCTGAACATGTCCGACTATTCACTTTGGAATATTCCTTTTAGATGTTCCAGAGGCATGTATATATTCTAGGAATAATCGATGAATATTCGGAATATACTCCTCCTTTTTAGCATATTTAGAGAATATTCTATGAATATCCAGTGCTGTCTGGGATAAGTGCTATCCGGCTAAAATATTTTGAAGATTGTGGCACTTCCGGTTGTACCGGAAGTGGACCCCAAATTCGTTATTTCAAAAGGGACACCCTGTATATTATCGAGGTTTCAGATTTTACGCATGATTCTTAACGTGTCTCATGTATAATGTCCTATACCCAAGTTTAATCGGTTTCGAAATATTTCAAATTTTAAGTTGAAAACTGCGTTTGCAGACCGAAAAATATATTTTGTTCTGGACATGATCATTAAATTTCGATTGTGTATATTTCGAATACTGTTGAGTGTAGGCATAGATAACCTTATTCAAAGTCAGCTTCATTTTCGATGCCGGATCGAATTAGAATATAAAATTGAGGGGTTTCCATTTGAAAAAATTTGTTCAACCGGATCTGTATCAATTTCTGGTGAACGCCATGTATAACTGTAATCCAATTGATATCGAAACTGAACTGGGTCCTCTCCTACTAAATCGATACACAATTGAAAATTAATGAACATGTCCAGAAATTAAAAAATATATTTTTCAGTCCCATTTAAAATAACGAAGTTAGGGCGGTACACTTCCGGTACAACCGGATGTGCCACAATCTTCAAAATATTTTAGCCGGATAGCACTTATCAACAATAGTGAATTCCCAATTTTCAAATTTGGCCGTTACCACAGATATTTGGCCCACCTATGGTTTTTTATATATTGATCAATGCAGTTCCCGGAGGGACACCCTGTACATGGGTTTATTGATTATTAATAAATAGACTAGCAGCAAAATTTCTCAATACTTTTTTACCTATTTACCACTTTGACATCTATCCCCATACTCATCAAGGTATTTGACACTTTTTCTTCAAATTTCTTATGCAAATTATGGAAATGTAGGAGCTTGACCAAATCTGTGCCTCTGTTTCTAAGTAATTTCTCAAATTCTTGATCAGTGAGTTCCTCATGTTTTTTTCTCTCATATTCATACCTTGATAATTTGGACACCACCAAAGCCTTGCTTATTTCAATTTTTTTGACGTTATTGGAGAAATATTGACCTAAAAATCCTACAAAAGTACAAAATATTCAAATCTTATCTGATGATCGACTTATGTTGACGATATTTTGACGATTACGAAAATTGCCCAAGAGCGCAACGCTGTCCAATTCCCACCATGGCCACTTTTCATTCAATGCCACGATGCCCAATTCCACAGCTGTAGAGTTGAAGACGGCTGTGCCAATTCTCACCATGCCCACCTTCATCATGGTGGGAATCCGAAGAAAGTGGGCATGGTGGGAGTTGGGCATCATAGGGATTGTGCATTGTGGGAATATATGAGAAGTGGGCATGGTGAGAATCCAAGGAAGGTAGGCATTGTGGGAATGTTTGAAAAGTGGGCATGGTGGGAATCCAAGAAAGGTGGGTATGGTGGGAATTGGGCATCGTGGGAAGCTCTCATCCAAATCTGTGATTGACATTTGACACTATTGACATTGACACACTGTTGACACCTTTTCACGGTTGGTTGGTTTATGCCGTTTATGGTTCGACGTTTGACATTTCACACTGACACTTGACAGTAACAAAACAAAACCAACCTAGACGCTGTTGACTGTCAAAATTATTTAAAAATATTGTTTATATTTTGAAATTGAAAGTATTTTTGTTTTCCTGAGTACCTTACCTCTACAAATACGTTTGATCAACGGCTTTGGACTGTACATCGATTGAGAATTGTTTCTGCAATTGATAAAAAAGTGGATTTAAAGCTTTCTTCGAAATTGGGTAATTTCGTTTTCTGTAGAGGTTAGACTTGGACCACCATTACACTGCACTTTGTACTCAATACACTTATCACAGTTTTTAAACCACAAATTATTTGTTAACGATTCATACATTCACCCCTTATCAGCTGTATGACCTATTTGAGTAATAATACTATAAATTGTGTTGAATTTACTAGGAAGTAATATCACAGGTCAAGCCTTTTTTCGGCATATTCGAGAAACATAACCAAATATTTTCGCGGGAAAAATGAAATCAGATTCTCAATAAATATTTATTTTGCATTATGTGGACATTAGAATTACATTTCAACAATACATTTTTATATACATTGGATCTTAAATATGTAAGTATCTGAGGTGCTTCCAAAACGGCACATTGCGGGATGAATGAACTTGAACACTAGTAAAATCCAACATTGGGTCGTTTTTTTGGTAGCAACTCAGTGGTGTACATAAAGTAAATAACGAGAAATGGCCCTAGTTTACTTATGTGAGGTGGAAGTTGTGTCTATTGAAAAATTGGAAGCTTGGTAACTATTTTCACATGCCTTTTCAAAGTGCAATATTTACATTTTGGTGAGTTCATACATTGTCTAGTAAGCACTGATGACTGTATACTGTATAAGTGAAAACTGAGAAGCACTTTACTCTTCTAACTACTTCAATTTTGGTAAAATAAATACCTCAAATATGAATTTTTATTCATTTCATTTTGTATATCACTACATGCAAATTCTCATTATCAATATTCATAATTTCATGTATAAGGCTACTTTTCATGCAAGACAGCATTCTGCATTTACAGGAAGGATTTTTAGTATCTTTTAATCAAATGGTTGAACCTTCCTGATATTTTCTTAAAGGGTTATACCTATATATCTCCAAAAAGTGCCATGCAAGGAGTCGATTTTTCAAACAGAAACAGTGGAAGACAATGTTCCTAATAGGTGCAGATGTTAGGAAATATCATTCAAGGTGAAGAAATATTATTATGTACCTACCAAGTTGAACATCATGCATATATTTACTAAAAATCAGGGGGGTTTGAGAGGAAAATGAAGATAAGACTAACCAGCATAAGGAGATTTTTCAAACCATAAACATACTCAGATATAGGTAACATGATTATAGTAAAGGGAATAATGTTGTAAAAACTTCACAAACGATAAGCTTTCTACAAAATTCTTAATCACATGACATGTTTTGCTAACACAGTAGCTTTATCAGGTAAAATATTGGTAAAAACTAACTTTGGCTTGCCTAACTTTTATGTATCCTACTTTCCCAACCAGAAGGATTATAATTACCTGTGGACAGGTTCCATAAACCTTTATTTCCGGAAAATAGTCACAATATCTACATTAAAATACAGTGTACCTGTTCACAGGTAATTCTAATCCTTCAGGTTGGGGAAGTAGGATATATAAAAGTTAGGCAAGCCAAGGTCAGTTCACATCATTGTAAAAGCAAAAAGCAAAACATGTCCTGTGTTTGAGAATTTTGTGGAAATCTTATCGGGAAATGGGAATATAATGTTATCAACTTCATTTTCATTATTTGTGCACAAGGGTAGACAATCAGGATTCCATATTCATGAACGCAAGTACCAATAATTTATTTATAAACTTCTCTATTACTGCAATCAAATATGGGAATGCATCTATGGTGATCAGATGCCTATATGGTTTGAAATTTAAATCACCTATCTAAATAGAAATACATTGTGTGTCACCCTGTATTTTCCATTAAAATCTTTGAAAGCACTGATAATTTCAACGTCATTGAAATTCTTTATTCAGCAGACATTTTAAAATAGTCAATTCAATGGAATATTAAGCTGTTACAAAAATGAAGAATGTCTGATTGAGAAAAAAAAAACAGCAATGACAATGTGAAATTCATTCTATATTGTGTCTGTAAATTTAGCCAGGAAAATAAATTTCATAGTATAGTCCATGTACGAATTTTCTAAACTGCTCAAAAATTTTTATCACCTTCTTCATAAAAAATAAATTATGCCAACTGGTGTTTTCTATCATGTGGCCTTTATTTAGGTGGTTCAAGAAGAAATTTTGAAATATTCCATGATATAATAATTGTTTATTTCATCTAAGTTACTCAATTGTGAATGATTTTCTCATTCTCAATTTTTTAATAGGATGTTGACAACAGTGAACTATTTTGAAATATCATCATGATATGGTCTCTCCATAATTCCATTTGTAAAATGGATTATATTCAAACACTCATTTATCCTGACTCAGTTTCTGAAATTTTGAATCCAAAAAAAGGTGACCTACAATAAAAAAAAATGATGTCTTCTGAGAGAATATTTGGTGTCACTATAAACCAGTTTTTTTTTTTTTTTAGCAATGATAAAATGTGAAAGTGATCCTTTATTCTTTCAGCACTTATTACTATGAAATAATAATTGATAAATTATTGGTGTTTAGAAGCATTTTCAATATGGGTCATTTCTTTGATGGCACTACAATATTATGATATGATGAGTTCTAAAATTCTAAATATGACAGAAAAATTGATATGCTACAAGTTTCACTATATTGGCAGAAGATAGAAGAACAATGCTTACATATACAACATACATATTTTCAAAGTTATCTGAATGAAAATTACTATCATACATTTAGGATAATTCAAAAGATTCATAAACAAGACACACTAAGTCCACAAATTTATTATCTGAATTATCAGTGTCTGAAAATTTTTCGGCCTATCAATAGTCCATCACAGCAGAAGCATACTTGAAACAAACTCTAATTACTTGGATGAACAAGTGTTGGTACCCTCCATAAAGCCCCTTGGGCTTGGGCCATGGGCATTTTGCCCTTCATTGATTGTAACAATGTAAATTCAATGGTATAATATCATTGTTGCCTCCTTTTTTCACTTCCACAAATTGTCTTTTAAAAATATGCTTCTGCTGATGATGGACTATTGATAGTCCGAAACATATTCAGACACTGATAATTCAGATAATAAATTTGTGGAGATGACTTAGTGTTTTTTGCTTATGAATCTATTCACTCCACATTGAGGTATCATGGACGTTTACCATAGATTAATTTAAAAGATACTGAGATCATTTTAAAATCAAATAGTTTATATGTGAGCATGTGTCAGAGAATATTCCACAAGTGCAAAGATTCGTGCTTTATTGTCTAATCATTTCCAAAATTAAATTCAACTGATTAATCACAAAGAAATTAGTATTTTTTAATTATTTTTTATTGCCGTGTCTTTTTATTTTGATTGATTTGAATTTGAAACATTTTGAATTTCATGCAAAAGGTTCCTACAGAAGTACTCGAATGGATTTTTCATGATCAAGTATACCTACCTATACCTTACCTATATAGAATCCATTGAAAATCGAACTTGGTAATAATATATTTTGAATAGTTAATGAGTATTTTATCAGATATATACATTCCATATCCAGAAAATGTTCACTAAGCAACATAAAAGGCACTTAACCTTGATGTTGAATTTCTTTGTGACTATCAAGGCATACTGTCAGTTACAAATATATACCCATAATAGTCAGTAGAACTAGAAATTAAATAAAGATCAGTTGAGCAATTTGTTCTTTGACTCTTGTGGCAATGCTTAGACGTGTAGCCAATATACAGGGTGTGCGATTTCAACTCAAAACAGTCTCCAAATTTGGAACTCTTCAACCGATTTTCAAAAACGAAAATCCCAGAATATAGAAATCAACGAGCTTCCCTCGAAAATGTGGACAAATCATATATATTCATATTTACAAGGCGCCTACTTTTGTTTGTTGAAAGGGTCGCGTCGTTCGTGTCAACGGCAGTCGCGTGCGGGAAAGAATCACTTTCCGCATTTGTTAGGAAAATTACTATATCACATTAAGTATCAGTTTATCTACTTGCAGTTTTTGGAGAGTGTTAGTCTGTCATTCTAATTTTTTGTTCTATTCGACAGCTCTTTTATCAATCGAGACGATTTTCAAAGTAACTGTGTGGGAAAGTGTGTGAAAAACGGTTTAAGTACTTGAGTTTTCAAAATGGTGAACCTCAACTTTTAGTTTTATTAATTTTTGGTTGACCTAGAAACATCTTCTCATAGATTAACGACTCCCCCTATCTATGATCTTCCTGTAGAACGTACCATAATGAAATTTCGTTTCTAAGTATGCTATTGCTATGTGTTTCTTCATCGAATTACCACATCATCGGTTATTTCACATATTACAGGGTGAACCGAAAAAGCGAGAATTCTGAAATTTGCCATTGAATAACTATATAACACCCTGTATGAGATATTGCGTTCAAATTTTGTGTGGGGGTATTTTAGCTATGCCTGAATCGACTAGGCTAGGCTATTTCGAAAAAAAAATCCTTGTACCCAGTCGTTTTTGAAATTTTGACCCCTGCAACAATAAAAGTAGGCCTAGAAATTTTTATTTTTGAAAATCGGTCAACGGGTTCCAAATTAGGAGGGTGTTGCGGTTTGAAATCGCACACCCTGTATATTACAGTACTACAGGGGCAGCCGAGGCTCTCTTGAATAAATAATATTGTGGTACTTTGGGGGTATATTTGTATTTGATTATTCAATCACAGAGTCCGAAACTTCACTTCACTGCCTAATTTTGAAGACTATTTCACTCATCACATATTCGACCAATCACAAGCCAGAAACAACTAGAGCCTATCGCGAAAACATTAGTTGTCTTTCAATTCTGATTGGTCTATCAGCGTTGATGTTTTCGACGATGTAACCATGAATAGTGATTAATAGTGAAGCAAAGTCTGAATAGCGAAGCATTCTGCCAATTTGACATAAGTACTTGTCAGAATGAATCACTCATAATAAATGCTTTTTATGCTTCGTGAACGTGAAATAGTCTAGCGAAATACCACTCTGTTCTGAATATCTTCTCATAATTCTGTCTTTTATTGTTAACTAAATTGTGTTGCCGAGCAACACCACAAATCCGTCAGGGCGAATGGTATTTTGCTGTACGGCAACACAAAAGAGTTAACAATGAAAGACAGAATTATGAGAAGATGTACAGGGTGTTTCTTAAGTACGTGTAGGAAATTTAAGAGCACCTTGCTGACGTCAAAATAAGAAGAAGAGTTTGTAAAAATATATGTCCGAAAGTTATTCGTTTCTGAGATACAGAGTGTCGAAGTTGAATTCTTATTTTTGGTTTTTGTCAATAAATTTCAAAATAATTGTGATATTGGAATAAAATTTGGTATCTAGGGGTTTTTTCAATGACAATATCAAATTTGATGTTAGTTTGTCTCTTTCGTGGGGATGGCGCCACCTACACGAAAGAGACAAACTGACATACAATTGGATATTGTCATTGAAAAATACTCCTAGATACCAAATTTCATTCCAATATCACAATTATTTTGAAATTTATTTACAAAAAACAAAAATAAGAATACAACTTTGACACTCTGTATCTCAGAAATGGATAACATTCGGACATATGTTTATACGAACTTTCCTTCGTATTTAGACGTCAGCAACATGCTCCTGAATTTTCTACACGTATTTAAGAAACACCCTGTAGATATGAAAATGTATTCAAAGCAGGCCTGTTTGCAATCAAAGTATCTACTAAACAGGGTACTGGTCACATATCATCACGTATCATTTTTGTTTTCAGCCCAAGAAGCATAATTATCATACTCGTATAAATATCATCAGTCGAAAAAAATGTGATGCGCCTCTACATAACAAGATCCATACCAGGCCTAGGGTTCAAAAACTGTCTACCTCATGCACAGACGTGAAAGGAACAACACTACGGGTAGCAGGTAAACGCTTTCTGTAATTCCGACAATTTTTCGTGCAGTGTTGCACATATCCTCCTCACAAAAGCACATGTGACCCGTTCCGCTACTTTCCATCATGCACACGTGATCTACCATGAAGAGATTGATCTGGAGCTGACTGGTACAGGTTCGTCTCACCACTTCGTATGCTGAAAATAAAAAGAGAGAGAGTAACCAAATACCAGAAAATATACAGTCTCTCCAAGATAAGGTCGAACAGCATGGGGATCTCGGAAACAGTAGGAGATAGGAAGTCCTTTGAATGGGGAAAAAGTTGCGCATTCGGAGGCTCATATCAAGAGCCTCCGAAAATTCTCAAAATTATTTTTAGTTTTTGAGATATCGAAAAAAGTGAATTTTTTGAATATCTATTTTATTTTTATTCTCCGTTATTATTAGAGATACAGAAGAACTGAAAATACTTTTTCGTAGCAAAAGTACTCACTTTTTTCTCGTGGGAAAAAAAGAATTTATCAAAACTGACATTTTATCACCTGTCAACAGAGATGAAATGACAAACTTTTTTCCCGTTACAGAAAATAGTAGATTGTTTTATCAGGATCAAAAGTGACACTTTGTTTGACGAGCGAATTTTGCATTTGCGAGGCGGAGCGTTTAGCGAAGCCGAGCGAAAGCAAAACTTGCGAGTCGAACAAAGTCACTTTTGATCCGAATGAAACATGCTATATTTTCTGCAACCGAAACAATTGACTCAAATAAACGTGTGAAGTAACCACCAATGCCGTGCCATATGTATGCAATGCAACAAATATTGACAAATAATCCATCATGTCGTGAGAATATTCTACCTGCATTAACAGCAGGTTAGGTTTTCAAGGATGTTTGAATTGTAGTTTCAATATAAATACAACCACAGAGTGACATATTTGTGTATGGACCAGGTGCTCTAATGGCAAAAACCGCGCCAGTTCAAGCTATAGGAACAAGACGTGGAAAATGTTAGGTTAGTGAGCATATCAACAATGATAATAGTGATTTATTCCTCTCCATACTACACTGTGTTTGACTTGATAATCAAATGGAGCTAAACAATATCGTTGTTTGAGACAAAAAAACTATATTTCTTGCCGTGATTATTCAAAAACAAGTTATCCATCCCGAGAATAACAAATGAAATACAGATCAAGCAAGTATTTGAATCTTGTAGGCTTCCATGATCAAATCAAAAATACTTAACTGAGATGTTTATAATTCCAATACTAAACTATAATAAGGTGTATTTATATTTCCAGCATGGGTATGAAATCGGAAACAAATCAGGTATGCGTCTCAACCCAAATAACCAACCATCACAATGTTGTTTATTCTTGATGACGTCCAGTAGACGTTAGTTCCTAGGAGCTAAAGTTCAACTTTAGCTCCTAGGAACTAAAATTCAACTTTAGCTCCTAGGAACTAAATATGTTGCCTAGCAACATAACTATTTTTGTGTCAGTAATAGAAACGTCAATTTAAGAGCTAATTTTGGTATCAAAATGGACGACTTTTGTGTCGGTTGCAGAAAAAATAAATTTTAAGTGACATTTGAGTGGATTTATAGTACGACCCCTGTGTACTAACTTACGTGATTTTGCATTTCGAACCATCTTTACACAGCATCCGTTACATGTCATCAATGGGGGTTGGTCTCTTGGTAGGGCGGTATAGTTGAAGGGGTCTTTACACCTCATATCTGACCAGGAGTCACATTCGTAGCAGTATATTTGTCTTGCTGGAACATATTTACGTGGCTTTTCAGTGTGGAGAAGTACAATGTTCGTTCAACTTCGATAATTAAATCATGCTTCAATACAAAATTGTGTGATAGTGGCCATACTGTCAACCTTGTTGAATTTTGTATAGACTTAGCTGTTACTTGTAAAAAATCCATAGTCAATATAGAACATTTCATATAACAATAAAATTTCCACAATATTCTATCTTACAATGAATAAATCCAACATTGAGCTGTCTAACTTTTATGCTAGGCTAGGAAGCAAAGTTCCAATAAACATCAGTTGAAAATTGGCTCCTGAGGGAGCTAGTGCTGTGGCTACGGCTCCTTAAAAGGTGCTTCTGAAGATGATATTTCCGAAACGTTATGAGATGAAATGATGCAATTCGGTACAATAACTAAACTTTATAATATGCCCAATGCAGTGAAAATAAAATCAGTGTATAATACAGAGAAGGACTACATTGAATATTGCTCAAACTTTTTTGATGCGATCTCCTCGGCTTATCAAAATCTACACCTCTTTGCAGAAAATTGATGCTCCTGTTCCGTATTGATAAGATTTTATTGTTTTAGAGTAAAATCGATTCAAAAAATACTGTTACATTTCATATATTATGCATAACATTGCAATAAATCCTAGTGTGGCTTTCGAAAAAAAAATGAGAGTAGGTTCTTCCTCCTTCTTCCTATTTTACGCACCTCTATGAAATTGTTTGGTGATAAGAATGATGGAAGTAAGATACGGTGCGCGCATTCGGCCATTATTACGTATTGGAAATTTCAGAAAATTCACTCGACCGCCTACTATGATTTCTCTACCTCACAACGAGCGAGACGTTGATTCTACATTTTCCCGCTAGATGGTGATGCTTCTATTGCTGCTGAGACGAGTGGAAATGAAATGGCAAATGGCATTTTAGGTACGCGGAACATATGTTACCATTATGTAACAGTGGGATTATTCAACTCTTAATTCGAAAATTCTGCGACAATTTCAAAACTGACAGATGTTATAATTGTGCAAGATCGACGGAACCATTGCTCTCGCTGTTCTCGAGAGGTCGAGTAAAATTTCTGAAACAAAAGCGCATCAGTAATTACACCATATCTTACTTTCATCAATGTGATAAGAAAGTAGTTGATTATGTTATAGTCACTATGATTTGAAAATCGAAATGTCGTTATGCATAATATGTGAGATGTAACAATATTTTTAAATCAATTTTACTCGAAAACGTTACATCTGATCAATAAAGAGAATATTTTTCCGGAAAGAGTTGTTGATTTTCATAATTTGGACAAGAGAATATTAGTGAGGCAAATCAATGTTAGGTTAATTCATTGTAGGTACCAGTATTCCTTTTGAGAAAGCCACTGTATTATTAAAAATTTTGTCAAAATCTCATCGTTTTTGAAGTTGTTCACATTAACCCTGTTGAAGACCTTCATATTCAGATTCTACATAATCTCAGAGGAGTTTGAATGCAATTATAGAAAAAATGGCAACTGTATCAATAATGTACCTACCTGTAGAATAATTTTCTTCAATTAGAGAAATATTCGTATGTGTATTTGGGTATATTTCGTAAGAACATAAAAAAGTGCAAAAACGTTCCTATGGAACCTAAGCTGCATTTGCTAAAGTCTATAAAAAATAATTAAATTAAGAGTTATATGAAGAAGCGTCTACTTTTTTCATCAGAAACAATTATTATTAACACCAAAATACACATTTATGAAAGGACAGACAACAAAACTTACTTTGGCATTCTGCTTTAGTTACTGAAGTAATAGCTATCAATATTATCACTGAAAAATAAAACCATAAACCATGTTAATTCTTACTTGTGCCATTGATTGAAGGTTTTTCAGATCTTGGTTTTAAGGAATTATTAGAAAAATAAAATGTTCTCTTTGTATTTGGAGAATCAGTATTTCATTCAAAAATACTTATTTAAATTTTATAAAAATGCCAGAAGAAGGAGATGAGTGTTTTAAATATATCCTTACTTTGTTCATGTGTAGGCTCTATGAGAAATTGTTTATTAATATGTTTTAGTTTTTGTCTAACCGCTTCTATAAACAATCAGAAAAAATCTAATCAAGTATTAGTAATAATTACTTCAAGCAAAAGTATTGTAAAAAATCAAATGTTTCTTTACTCACGAGCACACTCCCATTGAGTAGATCCAAAATTTATAAAACAGACTGGAAAAGTTAACTTTTTTCATTAAAAATATTCACCAAATTGTAAAAAAAAAACTAATGAATTTCAAAATGGATATTTGGATTCTAAAATGAAATGCAAAAAATAATGATGAAATTTGTCAAATGATTATATAGGTACTCTAAGACAGCCTAAGAAAATGAGGAAACACTTGTGAACATAATTAAGCTTCCTTTAAGATTTACCTAAGGGAATGAAGATTTTATACATCTTGAAAAGAATCTTCACAATCACAATAATCAGGTACCTATATATTATATTTTCTAGTCTTTCATCACTAATGTATTATATTGTCCATTTTAATTTCTGAATTCTGAGGAGGCTGTTTTAGCCCAAACCGATCTACCTCCGACATTTCTCAAATATTTGCAGAAACTAACTCAATACGATAGGGGAACAAGGGGATAGACGTAATGGTATTGATTTAATCCGCCCCTCATCCCTACCCTCTACCCAGTGGCGTAACCTTTATCTGAATTAAATTTTTCATAAACCTTCTGACACTGAATCCACTATTCATAACAAATCAACTCACCCTTATTCACTTGGAAAAAGTCTTGTCGGGTGCGCTGCTTTGTGCCCACATTTCGTTACTCCCACTTCGCGTTGTTCCCACATTTCGATATGCCCACATTTCGTTAGCCCCACATTCCGATACACCCACAGTTTCGGAACATACCCGAAGGAGGCACTGTTGCCTAATACTATCCTATACAGTGTGTCCCACTTACCATGCTCACCATGGGTATCTTCTTAACGGTGAGAGATACGAGGTCGGTTAAATGACACCAAATGTGGAGTTTGTCAAGGCGAACTATAATGTGAAAAAATATTTTGATAAAATCTATTCGTTTTTGTTTTATACGCAAAAAACAGATTTTGATCATTTTCATGTCTCCTCCGTAACTTCTTTATTTATGAAAATATTCAAATAGGAATTTCACATTCTCATGGCAGTTTTTCAATGTGATTTCGAAAAAAATATGAAATTTATACCAACTCTTCTAGAATTTGAGATATCAGCAACAACTTTAGTTTTTCAAATGTAGGTCATGGCTCACTATGACTTAGTTACAAATAACTTTTTTTTCTCTTACGGATGATATGTCGCAGTAATAGTTTTGTGTTGATAACAACGGAGTTATCGTCATTTATACAAAAACAAAAAATTATTTTGGAGCCGCCATCTTGAATTTATGAATTTCAACAAAAAAATCATGATCTCCGACCTCAAAAACCCCCACTTACCAATTTTGAATGGAATCGGACCAAATCTTGTCCGCCATTTTTTTAATTGAGAAAGTTGATTTGCAGAAGGATGAAAAAATTCATGAGGAATACGGGAGCTGCTAATCTTTTCCGCTTATTCAACACTCTTTTTATGTGCCATAACTGGAAAACGAAATGTTTCGAACAATGAATCTGGAACAGAAAGGACGCTTGTTGAACACTGCATTCCAATTGAAAATCGGTTGATTTGCAAAAATGTTATCGCATTTTAAGAAACGTCGAAAATTAGAATGGTCCACTTAATTCATTGAGCCGTATTGAGTTTGTAACTTTGTGAAAATACGAATACATTGAGGATACCTTATAGCATTCGAGTATCTACGCCCATGGTGTTTTCTAGTAGTTTGTTTTTCAAGTTGCATAATATTATGCAGCTACTGTTTTTGCTGAGAAACTATCAAAAAAATGACCTCGCATTTCCAGCATGACAAATTTACCATTGAAATGTTATCAAGGAACATTCGTGCTTGGATTTAAATTTGCAGAAAAAATAGTAGTGACGCGCACGCCCAGTTTCACAAATGTGCTGCAGTATTTTAGTATCTTTGATGAATAGGTACAGAATGATACAAACCAAAATGTTTCAGCAGTTTTATTGACATTCAGTTTGGATAACAGATTTTGAAAAATATTTTTTATTGTTTTAATTTATTTGAACTCATTTTTAGTTCAAATCTTGATACCAAATACAAGAAGTAAATAAGATATTGAGAAATAAACTGAACCCAGTGATTAGATGATTCAAAAACTTCTTGAATGAAGCCTTTTCATTGTACCCTTGAAACTTGATACATTTTAACAATCTTCAAGATATTATCCCCACCTTTTTGATTTTACTCTCCAATTTTTTGCACTTTCGGCCGTCCGAAGATGGCTCGGTGACTATATCGTACTGAAGTCTTAGGTGGGAAAATGAAAATTTTTATTTGGCCTATTAAAAATCTGAAAAAATTCACATGGACTAATTCGATGTTGAAATGAACGAATCTGTGGTGGAAATCGGGAAATTTTGGAAAATGGAGACGTAGTAGCCTACTGGAGTGCTCCTTTTGGCAATAAAAGCGAAAAGCTGACTTTGAGCGCCGATATCTCAAAAACTATTTGTTCTATGGGGCTGATTATGGTCTCATTCGTTTCAGCGGGTCATTTTCTTCTAGAAAAGCGATAATTCGTTATGATTTCTGCCGTTTTCTGGCACTTTCGGCCGTCCGAATGGCTCGGTGACTATATCGTACTGAAGTCTTAGGTGGGAAAATGAAAATTTTCATTTGGCCTATAAAAAATCTGAAAAAATTCACATGGACTAATTCGATGTTGAAATGAACGAATCTGTGGTGGAAATCGAAAAATTTTGGAAAATCGAGACGTAGTAGTCTACTGGAGTGCTCCTTTTGGCAATAAAAGCGAAAAGTTGACTTTGAGCGCCGATATCTCAAAAACTATTTGTTCTATGGGGCTGATTATGGTCTCATTCGTTTCAGCGGATCATTTTCTTCTGGAAAAGCGATAATTCGTGATGATTTCTGCCGTTTTCTGGCACTTTCGGCCGTCCGAAGATGGCTCGGTGACTTAATATATCGTACTGAAGTCTTAGGTGGGAAAATGAAAATTTTCATTTGGCCTATAAAAAATCTGAAAAAATTCACATGGACTAATTCGATGTTGAAATGAACGAATTTGTGGTGGAAATCGAAAAATTTTGGAAAATCGAGACGTAGTAGCCTACTGGAGTGCTCCTTTTGACAATAAGAGCGAAAAGCTGACTTTGAGCGCCGATATCTCAAAAACTATTTGTTATATGGGGCTGATTATGGTCTCATTCGTTTCAGCGAGTCATTTTCTTCTGGAAAAGCGATAATTCGTGGTGATTTCTGCTGTTTTCTGGCACATTCGGCCGACCGAAGATGGCTCGGTGACTATATCGTACTGAAGTCGTAGGTGGGAAAATGAAAATTTTTATTTGGCCTATTAAAAATCTGAAAAAATTCACATGGACTAATTCGATATCGAAATAAACGAATCTACTACTTAATGTATTATGATGAAGTGAATCCCAAATCGATAATAATTAAATTGAATGTATGTACGCTGGTTTTGGAAAATAGATTTTCAAATTTCATAATTCAAATGTTCCTTCCTTATGAAGATGGATATGGTTATGAAATCCAAAACCATCACCAAATTGACTTTTTAACCAATAGGAAATTATTGGGATGTTAGTATGTAAGGAAGAAATTAATATTTTGAAGGTACCTATACCTATTCAATCTTTTTTCTGATAAATGTAATCAAAATGATAGGTACGATAGACCATTATTGGGTTTGAAATCAAGTGGAGATTCAGTCTTTATGAAATAAATCATAGGGTGAATTTTGAAAAATAAAAGTTGATAGTGATATTCTGGAGGTCTAAGGTTTTAAGTGTGCAATCAATATAAGAGACTTTGATGCCATTCACACAAATTGCTTCAACTTTTTATCTCTCAAATCAATTGATATATTGCTGTTGACGAAATTGTGGATCACCCTGTTTGTTGGTAAAAAATGGGAAGGAAAACGACAAAAACTACTTTCAATGAGCACAATGTTTATTTCTGAATATAAAAAAAATCACTGGATATTCTTACTTCGAACTCAAATTAAAAATCATAAATCATTAGGAATAAGTAGGAAAAATAATTACTAGAAATTAACAGTAGGGATAGGGTATATGATACGCAAAAAAACGCACATATTCTAGCACTCAATTCCTCAACAATGAAAAGAGACTCAGTTTTTTTTATGTTTCAATGACAAAATCAATTCTTTAGCAAAAAACTTGTTGATTTTTGCTTTCTGCTCCAAAATGTTTTAAATTTTTTCTTTTATACCATAGTGAATATTCTGATAGTTGATAATATACAGGGTGTTCCTAAACATCATGTACATCCGAAAGGGGGTAATTTCCTCAGCTCATTTTAAGACTAAAAGTTCATATAAACATTGGTCCGCAAACGCTTTGTTACCGATCTACGGGGTGTTGAAATTTCAAGATTTTTTTTGTTTTTTCTTTATAGATCCTGCAGTTTTTGAGATATGTGGCTCAAATTTGAAACATAGATTATGTTATAGGGCTTACATCGATGGACATCTCAAATGTTTGTGAGAATCTATAAAAAAATTGAAATTTCAACACCCCGTAGATCGGTAACGAAGCGTTTTCGGACCTGAGTTTATATGAACTTTTAGTCTTAAAATGGTCTGAGGAATTACCTCCTTTCGGATGTACATGATGTTTAGGAACACCCTGTATATTGATCAATAAATAATTATCCAGATGCATTTATTAGTATGTCAAAAAAATCCATATAATATATTTTTTTAATCAAACAGAAGCCAAAATATCTGCAAAATTCCATCGAAGCTATGTCTATCAAGACTAAGGAGTTCATTGCATTCTGTATAATTATTGATCAATATAATCAAATGCATCGTCAATATAGTATTTCTGTAAGTCATTTACGAAAGCGCTGAAGGGACATTGTAGATTTTTTTTTATCTCGTAATAATGAGTTAGTTATCTCATAATAATGAGATAACTAATTCATTATTACGAGTTAAGTATCTCATTATAACGAGATAAAGTATCTCATTATTATGACTTGATTATCTCATCATTATGAGATACCCTAATTCATTATAATGAGTCATTAATATGCAACGTTGCCAACATGTACTGATTTTCCTATTTAGTGAGAATAGACAATTAGACATCTCAATGAGAATGTATAGATACTCATATATCTATACAGCCGTTGATTGCGATACCATATGGTTTCAACTTATCATATGAATCAACATGTCACATGTAGTTGGGTCCTTTATTTGCATATGCCCTTCTTCTCAGCCTATTTCTTGACCTTAATTCCTCACTGTACTCA